GAGACCTTAAAATTTGCTGTTAATACTTTTGTGAGGTTGTGATGAATCTTGTGACTGAAGCAGATGATAACAATTCATTTGATAAACACAACAACCGCTAGATTAGAGAAACAAGGGCAGGCTCAGATGGTAACGTCGTAAGTAAGAGGTCAATATTCCATACACTTTTATCACAGAAGCATTTTAGAGCAATTTATCAATAGTTTTTATTCTTATCTTTGCTTTTTTTCATCGACTTAGTTAGAACTAAAATTCTGTATAAATCCTGTAGATGATAGTCTTACTCTTATCTGGATCCCCCCTCATGACCCATATTGTGAAATGAGATTATTTCAAAAACAGATATATCTCCCCACAGAGACCTAAGACACTATTATTTTGGTTGAAAATGTTATTGTGAAAATGATTTCACTGATGACTTTCTTTTCTGTTTAACATGGGTCTATTAAACTCAAAGTAAGAGGAATACAAACTTTCAGAGTTCACTTAAATCTTAGTGCTAACACTAAACTGAGCAACTCCATTGGCAATGAAATGAAACAAGGTGAAAGACACTGATATGAATCATCTCTGTACCTAATTGGGTTTTCCTGCCAAGACACTGTTTCATTCTTTTCACTGTTTCATTTCCAACTCACTTCCCTAACACCCCTGTAACCCCTACTGTTTTCTTCATGTGCCATCGCTGCAGTCTCTCATGAAATTGCTTCCATTGCTTGTGCTCTTCTGTTTTCATTTATTTTTCACACACTTGACGTTGCAGTGTGGAGTAGTTAGTGGCATCTAGCAGAACCAAGTCTGTAGAAATACAACATACTGTTAGTATGTTAAAATGACCCTTGAATCACATGAATTTAAATAATTGCTCTGTTGTTGTTGTTGTTAACTTAGAGTGAGACTTTACTTACTATCTACCAAAACTGGAATATTTCAAAGTAAAAGCAGGAAACAAAGCTACTAAGATGCAAAACAGAAAAAAAAATTAAATGACAACTAATTGATTAATGAAGCTGTTTAAAATTTTTAGTCATAGGCCTGTTGATGTGGATAATTTATACACTTAAACATCATTAGAAACAGATATTGATGCAAAACAATATGATTACAGATAGTCCTAAACTTTTTGTGATTCGGGGGACATCCCTAGCAACAGTCTATCATAGCAACAGTCTGCTATAGAGAAACAGCAGACCTCAGAATGTCAAGGTTGACCAATCAGAGTGAAGTATCTAACACGGCTGAAACTGATGGGAGGAAAGTCGTTTTTGACTCATCCATCGAATATAAAAAGCACAGTCTTTGAGAGAGCAACTCTCTCTTTCTAAAGTGAGTTCATTTCAGTGGCATTGGTGAAGTAGTTAAATCTCTGTGTGTACTTACACCATAAGTCTCTTTTTACACCAACATGTAAAGCTGTACCTGTGTTAAGGATGGATGCACTTTTTACTTTCAGCTGTAGCTGCAGTCTGGATTGAAAAAAGCTGAAATGAAAGCAGCAAGGACGGCCCCTTGTGCTATACAAACCCTCATGTCTGACTCACACTGGAGCTCTCTAGTCAAACGTCCTGAGAGGAAGTCATTCATCCATACAGAAAGTTAACTCACTGTAGTCTGAGGCGCACAGGCTGAAAACCTGTGGTTCAAATAAGCTCAAGAATCTTGTGATGATTTAATAAAAACTCTTGAAAAGAAACACCAATATGCATCTTTTTTATCCTCCAATATAAGATTCTCATAAAGAAAAAGACGCTCCTGGATTGGTGTAATTACTCGCATATCCTTGTTATTGTTTATCAGACACAGTGAAAACCAGAGTATGCGAAAGCTTGAAGATGCTGACTCGCTATCATCTGCTATCTTTCTTTGCTGCTCTGTCAGCCATTAGCCTATAATTTATGCTTTCACAATCTCAAGGCCTCCCGCTCAAAGCTACGGCACTGCAGCATGCGGGAAAGTTTTCGCTTTCAGCCAGTCGACGGCTGCTCATTGACTGATAAACAGAGACGCAGATAAAATTGAGTGCTCCTCACGCCCACTGCAGGTGTTCGAACAAAAAATAAAAAAGGGAAGTTGAAAAAAAAATCCCATTGGAGTGGAGGTGTGAATTAAACTGCAGCGCACTCAAGCATGAAACGTGATGCATTTTTAAAGCTCGGGGAGGGGGAAAAAAAATGCAGACAGCCAGACAGACTATGAATGCGCTCTCATGATAGACAGTTCAAACAGAAAATTTGGACCATCTAAAACCTGAAGACTGCAGAGTGAGTTTAATAGTGATATATGATCGAGAAACAGATGCTGAAGTTGCTTCTTGGACAAATTTAAAAAGTTCAAGTGTCGCAGAGAGACTGCAATTCTGTCTGATCAGCATCAGGCTTTGCTAAAGTGAAAGCTGCATGGCTTTCACTGTCCTGAGGGCCATGAAACTGGCTCAGCGCATAGGAAATAGAGTGAGAGAACAAGTTAAACCTCCATATGAAGTTGTTCGGTGAACTAAAAGTCTTATTTATTCCTAGACAGCTGCTGAATCGGCACCAGGCTGCATCAATAACAAACTGGACTTGAGGTCAGCCGTGGAGCTTCACACATGACTGCTTCTTCACATAATACAGCCAAAGTCTATTTTATCCAACCTTGGCTGCAAATAATCCCTACAAATTAATTTCTATCCTGGTCTTTTATTTTGGAGTGCTTTTGACGGAGATAGACACCAAAACACAGAGGGAAGGTCAAGGTCTGCTTCCTTCTTGTTTATAAAGACTTCTTTATATTGAAATTCCTTGAAGGCCATGTTCGCCATACTAAGTATGGCTCTCCAGCAAACGCAGTCTCATCTCTTGATGTGGCCTGAGGCCGTGCTACTTCTCCTTTTCATCGCTGAGCTGTTTTTAACACGCTGCGCTCTGAATGAGTCCGACTGCAAATTAGTGTCCTAAATCCAAACTCATTAACTCTCAAACCAAACACATCTGTGCCAGGGCGTCTACATCCTGATGTCTGTTTGAGATTACCAGCATTTATAATTCGGCCTTGTTTATTTGGTAATCTGTCTGTGCGGGGATTTAGGCAACTACCGTCACAGTAGGTTCTGTCAAATTAAGGCGGTGCAGACTGTTGAGTATAAGGAGGGGCTGAAATGTGCCAGACACACACTCACAATGCTCACAAGCAGCGGTTAGTGAGTGCAGTGGAAGAAATTAAAACAGATACATAGTTGAAGATGTTTGGGCTCCTCTCTGGGAAACAGCCTTTATTGGTTTATTGATTTGTTCTCAGCTTTCGAGGCCTCATGGTCTCTGGCAGAGACACAAACGTGAATAATTTGCAATATTTCTGTGTTAATCTACAGAGATTATCGTTCTATATTTTCCTTCTAATCTGCACCCATAATCTGCGGATCATGATCCCATGTCTTGGGCATACTTTCATGTTTTTGTCCTCTCTGCTCAGGATTATAAATCTTAATGTCACATATTTACAGATAATGTCATGTTTGCTTCTTATGTAAGGGCTGCATTAGAAGGGACCGCAGCAGCAGAACAGTGTGGAAATCATGCTCAGTGCACTTTAGGTGCAAAGTATCTTTAGTACTGCAGTACTCAGAATAAAGTGGGTGTCATTCTCCCAGCATGCCCTGGGAGAATGACGGCAAAGTCATATTTTTATGTGTTACTGTATTACCAGTGTTGTTATTGAACTTTACATGTTCCTACAGCTCTAATGTTGTTATACAGTTAATTATTGTATTTAAGGGGAACTTCACCAATTTTACACGTTAAGTCCAGTCACAAGGAGTTCCACTCAGCATGTGATCACAGTTAGATAACATCTCCTGTGTCTCTGGAGGAGATTTTCGTAGGCGAGAAAAATAACCCATATGATGTCACCGTGACTTCACATTTCCTCTGCTCAGGTTTGAAGAAAAAGTCACAAACTGAAACTGCACGTGGGAAAATACAGGTATGTAAGGAAGCAATGCATGTACTTGATAAATAACTGAGGAACTACATTATGGGAGTTTTGCTGGTTTGACCAAAGACCTGTTTGCACTGAGACCTCAGTGGCTTACTTTGAGACCTTTATCTCTGAGGAAAGTGCAAATCCAGTTTTACTTACCAACATGGCAGAAAGTTAATTTTTCACACACACAACGCACTGTACATCATTCTTACACATATGCTCTTGCACCATCACAACCAAATTCACTTACAGTAAGAATACCTCTGATAACTTTATATCGCAGCTTAGCCTGGGTCATGAGCCCAGTTAGCAGAAAATTAGCATAACTTAGCCTTAGACATTAGACATGGCAAGTGCTAAAATAGCTTTTGTTGATGTAGCCATATTGTTTCCACCTCAGATTTTGCTTTTTTCCAACTTGGTAACTGAAACGCTAGAAAGTCGATTGTGACGTTATTCTCAGCTCCGACATCTGACTTCCAAGGTAACTCGTATGCAGCATTAGACCGCTCCTTCCTAATAAATATAACAACAGATATGCTGAGTTCGAGTTACCTCGGAAGTTAGATATCTGAGCTGGGAATGATGTCACACGTGAGTTACCAATGTGAGTTACCAATGTTTCAGTTACCAAGTCGGAAAACAGCTAAATCGGAGGCGAAAACAAGATAGCTACATCTGCGAAAGTTATTTTACCACTTGCTTTGTCCTATCTTACATTCTAAAATAACTTTCGTAGATTGCTTTTTTCCAACTTGGTATCTAAGACGCGGGTTACTCAAGTGTGACGTCATTCCCAGCTCCGATATCTGACTTCCGAGGTAACTCAAACGCAGCATTAGATATAGTTAAATTCTGCGTCACAACTCCAAGCTCCACCCCCCGGAAGCCCGCTCTGCAGGCCAGACTCGGAGAACAAGCCCTTGCAAACGACACGGTAACGCGACATTGGCTAAAAACTTCACAATCACAGTTTAAAGACCGCTGATAACACTTTCAATTGTAAAAATAAAATTAAAAAATGATCGGAGTGGGACTTGATGAAGATGAATAGAAACAATTCCTACCGCGCAGGAGAGACAGTTTCCTCGTCGTCGTTAACCGGCGTCCACGCCACAGCTCTTTCCGGGATCTCCGCTGCCGTCCACGCAGAAGAAATTCGGCGGTTTCTCTGCCCAGCTAGCTCCTGTTTCCGAAAACACCCACTCCGTCGGCAGAATACAGGTCCAAACACACGTAAAATGGAGTGTGGTAACAGGTGAGCACTTTTACATCCAACTGGCTCAATAATGGGATAAAACAGTCAGTTTATAAAAGTCTACAAAGAGTTTCTTTCTTCTCACTCCTCTTTATTTTATCTTGCTTTACTTCGTCTCCGGTTCTCTCTTAGTCCCGCCCCTTAAACCTGATTGGTTCGGAACATGGGGTAACGGACATCTGATTGACACCTGTCTACCCCATTGACAACGCTTAATAGTTCATGATGAGTTCAATGTCAATTCGAAATCGGAGCGTTTACGATATTTAACTGCTTTTTGATGTTTACACAGTTAATAAATAACAAAAGGACTTTGCTTTGTAACTTATTTTCTCCCTGAATTAAACACTTGAAACTTTTATACAAAAAAGAAGAAAAATTGGAACAAATTATATATGTTGATACTGGTAAAAGAGGGTTTGATTTTTATATAGGATTTATTGTCTGAAACCAGTGTGAGGGAGGAGGTCCAAGCCTAGCAGATAAAGAAATAGTCATGCTTTACAATTTCCTTTCAAAAAATTTACTATGAATTATACATTTGACAATGAAAAAGTCAGAAGGATGATATATGTTATTGCCAAGATTGGCACAATTCAATTGTTCCTCGTAGGAGCTAATAGTTGTTAATTCTGTGCAATAACACAAATGTAGTGGAGCCATTTCTACTGAACCTGTGTTGCTATGCACTGTACCTTTAAGATACCTATATAAGCCATGTTGCATTGGTAAATGTTTGCCAATCCTTTTTTACTAAAAGGATTGCACAGACTGAAGTAGATAAAACCATTTTGACTACTCATGTTGTCATCAGACGACATGAACTTGAAAACGTACCATAATCAAAAAACCAAAGCTTTTGAAATGTATTTATTTTCTCTTAAAATACTGAACGTCCCCAGTGTTTACTTAAAATAATACCAAAACACTCAGATAATGGAGTAGCTTGCTGAAAAGTTTGTGTCTGATATGGTTTCCCTTCCTGTTCTCTTCTACTGTTTAACTCCGCACGTTCGGCCCAGTGGGGCTCAAACATCAAAGTGAGGCGCAAAAATAAAAACACATTCTTGGATGGAGGGGAGTGTGAGGGAAAATATTATTCATAACTTTGACATCTTCTTTAGAGGGCTGAGTTTCTTTATTAATAACAGCAGTTTAGTAGAAATTCAAGAACAATCGATAAACATACTCATTATAAGAGAGCGCAGATATCTCAAAGGCTGCTGAGAGGCTGCTTTAGCTCACAAAACATACATTTATGCGAGGTTGTTATGAATCTCCTTTGGGAAAAAGAAAATAAATGAAGAGAGGACATAACATGAGGAACTGTGAGAATTTAATATATGAATAAACATATGAAAAACTCAAAAATAGTAGGATATTAATCTTCAGCTCAGTGAAACAAGCATGCAGGCAGCAATAAAATCCTATTTAGTTATGAAGATTTTTTAATAAACACTGTACAACTTCAATAACAACAATAGACAACGAATTTCACCCAAACCCGCCCCCTTCCCAGAACAAACCCCAGAGGCCAACTCTTACCTACATCCCTAATAATAATAATAATAATAATGATAATAATAATATAAAAGAAAATATAAATGCAAATTAATAAAAGGATAAAATAATAACAATAACAACAACAATAATGATAATAAAATAATAATAACAACAATGACAATGATAATAATAACATATAAACTAATATATAGACAAAAATAAAAATGCAAATAAATAAAATAATGTAATAATAATAAAAAAATTATAATAATAAATAAAAGAAAATATAAATGTAAATAATTAAAAGGATAAAATAATAATAATTATAATAATAATAATATATAAAAGAAAATATAAATGTAAATAAAAGGATAAAATAACAACAATAATAATAAACACATTTGTGAAATAATTTTAAAAAATAAAAATAAAAATTACAACAAAATACATGCAGCAGAGGTCAAATATTTTACAATTAAAAAGCACAGTTACTCCTGCAGATGTGCTACAACCAACAACCACCAGCACACTATTAACAGTACTCATCTTGTTATCTGTGAAGTTATCCAGATATATTTTAAAGTCATTTTAGCATTTGTCAAAAAGATGGGGTTTCTTTTTTTTATATTGAATAAAATCCTAATATTAAAGCATTATTGATCCCTTGGAACATTTCCTCTGTTTTATAATGAAACAGATATGTTTGGATAGCTCCAGAGCAGGTGCCTTTCTTGGTGGCTTCTCTGAGTCCGGATGTGGTGAAGAACCAGGCCCTGCAATCTAACAATGGTCTCTTTAAGAGTCAGGCCACCCTGCTTTGCAACCACACGCTCATTTGTCTGGGCGAGCCCGTAAAAAAGGACCTCTGGGTGTCTCGGGTCAGACTCCAGGTTGGGAGGCACTTTGCCAAAAAACAGGCCCTCACTTCTCTCACAATGAAACGGTCTTAATCAAGCGGTGTAATGGCTGCTGGGGGCCCCTCGCCCCGCGTCAGGGGCCAGTGTTCAGAGAGGCTAATGGGCGGAGACCTGTTTGTGTGCCTTTTTTTGAAATCCTCCCAGGTCCCTGCTGTGATGCGTACTGCAGGAGCAGACTGGGGGCGCACACACGCTGCAGCACCACACACACACATCATTTCCAGCGGAGATTGGCACACAGAGACGCAGCGCCACGACCACTCCGCTGTGTCTGCTCGGTACTGACTGCTGAAACTTCTGCGCAGAGAGGCGGATAGATTCATCCAGCTCGTCCCAGATAGCGGATTAAAACCACGCTCTCTTCTCTTTCTTTCCTTTTTTTCCTCCCTTTTCTCCTCCTCCTCCTCCTCCTCCTCCTCCTCCTGGTTTCGTGTTACAAAGCCTTGGGAGGGAGTTGCGCGGAGAGCCAGTTCCTCTGTTAGAAACTGAATGACAGGATCATATTGCTCGATTTGACGTGAAGTCCACACATTTGGAGGAAAAAAAAGAAGAGAGGATACAAGAAAAGAGGGGAGAGAAGCTGCGTGAGGACTCGTCAGAAAATGAAGAGGATGTGGAATAATTTATAACTCCAATTCAAAAAAACAAACCCGAGATAACGGAGAGAGAGGAGAGGAGAGGAGAGGGAGAGAGGGTGGACAGGATACTGGATCTGTCGTCAGAAACAGACGCTGAGAGGAAAGCGCAGGACGCGTTGTTTGGCTGCGATCATCACCACCTTCCCCGGAAAATAAGGTAAGTTTGGAGCCGTTTTTCTCACCGAATGATGGATGCAGATGTGAGGCAGCTGGATTAAAAGTAGACGCAGGGGAGGGAAACATCTTCATCGGGAGTCTTTGGATCTCCAACTGTTGCCATGAAGCTCCTTTTCCTTCAAATTAGGACACCTTTGGATACAGCGCTTTACACCAGTGGATCATTTGGGAGCTGTGGGTTTTGTTTTGGGGCTTTCACGCGGTGCAACTTTATCTCCATTTCGCGCAGAGTAAACACAGCGCAGTGCGGGCAGGAGCAGCTGGAAGGGAATCAGCTCACGGGCTTTACTGTAGACTGTGTGTGTGTGTGTGTGTGTGTGTGTGTGTGTGTGTGTGTGTACTGTATGCGCTCCAAAATCACAGCACACTGATAAAACCATGCCCTATAATCTGCACTATATCATAACTGTGGGTGCTGTAACGTGGCAGAATTATTTGTACACTGCAAAAAATGAGACCTACTTAGAAATGATGACCAGTCAAAGAAGAACTTAGTGGATATGTTGGGATTGCTCAATATTTAAGGTTTATGTCATTTTGACCTATGTTAGGTTTAATTTACAACAAGAGGTAACCCCTAAAATTAAGAAAATGACATAAAAATGAACATAAAATGATAATAATATGAAGTGGGGACATTTAGTGGTGGTTAAATAGTCTGAGGAGGTCTCCCAGTTAGACCATAAGTGATAAAAACAAACCAAAACAACTGTCACTTGAGATCCAAGTCAGTGAAATTGACTTGAGAAGCTTTTCTATGTTTGTTTTGATCAGACAGTATTGTTCTTTGGCTTATTATCTCAAAAGCAGTCCACTTTAAAGCTATAAAACAGCTGAGACTTCTTAGCAGAAACAACCTTTTTACAGAATTGGCTCATAATAAAGTCGAGAGTATCTTTTGGGAACAACCTTCCCTTATTTTAAAACTCAAATAGCATCAATAAGACTCAAATATTGTTCCTGACTTACTTTGTGACTTCCATTGGTGGTTAAACAAAGTTATACTGAATAAAGACACACAATTGTGCTCCAAAATGGACGTAAGAGAGTTCAGCAGCATCCTCCTAAAGAGATTTAACAGCTTAATGTAACGTAGTAGTTGTAGGTGTCATATATGACAGCCCTCATCCACTTCCATTACCATCAAAGCAACGAGTCCCTTCTGTTGCTGCTTCTGGTTCCCGCTTGCTCAGCTGACACTCAGAAATGAAGCCCTTATGGTGACAATAATCCACCGCCTTGAGATATTACTCTGGAGTGCTTTTTCCCTCTCCTTCCCCCTTCTGATTTTTTTCCCTCCTTAATGAAGTAAGTATTAGCTTCAGTTGAGTGATTATTGTAATTACCAAAAGAGGGGGAGCAGCCCGGCGTCCAGGCTGGACAGTATATGAGGAAGGATTTGTGTAAAAAAAAAAAAATAAGGTGGTTGGTTTTAGGAGAAGGAAAAGAAGGAGGTGGAGGAGGAGTTGAGGGGGTCTGCTCAGTTTACAAGCTGGATGGTGCCACTGCCAGTTAACTAACAGACAGTGTGGAGGGATGAGGAGAGGGGGTGCAGATTCAGAAGAAAGACTTGAAGTGTTGTGGGAGAAGTTAAAGAAGTCGTGCTCAAGCCATGTGGGCTGGAGGAGGCAGGGAGCGTGTGAGCGCTACTGTGCAGGAGGAACTATTTTCTACTTGAAACGTGCGTGTGTGTGTGTAATTTCTTCAGAAAGTTTGTCATAGGATTTATTTTTCATAAGTTGGTGGGTGAGATTGCAACTCTGGGGCTGACATTTACATTGCACAAGAAGGATGTGGCAAAGAGAAATCATTTTTTATTCACTCTTTTAATTTGTTGAACATAGATGACTGACCTTTAAGAAAACTCACTAGCTTTCATATAAAACCACAGAGTTGATCAGAAAGGTCAGAGGGCGGTTACATGGAGATGTGATGTTGAAGTATTCCTACTGATATCTGCGTCAGTCCCAGTCAGAGAGAAAGCCCTGGAAATCCAGTTTCATCCAGAGCAGTTGCAACAAAGACATGCACACAAACACACACATTCACATTCACACTCACACACACACACACATACACATACACACACACACTGCAGCCCTCTGGCCCCAGATGTTAATGCCTCCATTGAGCGGGCCACAGGACTCCTGTCGACTTGATCTCTTCATTGTCGGACAGACAATGGACTCCACATCCTGACAGCCGGCCTCCTTCCCGTTCTCCCTCACACACTCCTCATCCTTCTCACACACACACACACATAGGACACAGTCATGCAGACAAAGAACCACATGTATCAGACATAAATGCATGCTTTTACATGCTGATTGCGCATAAACGTGTCTTTCACTTGCTTTATTTATATTCTGGCGTGTCGTTTGGGTGCACGTTTTGACAGATGTTGCGTTGTCTCAGTTTCTTTCACGTCTGTTTTGCTTGTTATGTCTCATCTGGATGTTGTGCTTGCACTGGGGATGTTCTCCTCTTAAATACTCAGTTCATTTTCTCTTGAAAACAAATCCTGTCAAACTTTCCGTGCTGTCTTTAAATGCATTCTTTCGTCAAACAGTCTTTCAACCAAAGCTATTTTGTTTGCAACCATCAAAACGCTGCAAATCCTAATGAAAAGCTGCTGAAAGTTTTGTTTTTCTCTTTAAAACATGCGAACCCTGAAGTTATACTTTAAATTAGTCTCTTCATATACTTATTTTTTGATTCACAGCATCACTTTCTGCCTGTATAGGTTTGCACATGCATATACACACACGTGACTTTACCTGTGTTTTGACACTACAGGGCCAACATTACATCATGGCCTCTACACCATTACTGCACCAGATGTCTCCTGCCTGGTGTGTGTGTTTGTGTGTATGTGTTAAATTGTCATCCCTGTGTCATGTGCATCACATCAATACAGCAGCCCACATGGCGAGCAGCTGAATGCGCGGCTAACGCTGCATGATAACGTGATGATTTCTGTTAATGGAACCAAAGCTTTGCATACAGGAGCGCTCACACACGCTGATCATCCAGCGGGTCTTCACGCTGTTGTGTTGCGGGAGCTCATGATTCTGCATTCATGACGATAATGTATTTGAGATGGTTGAAAATGCTTTTTCACATCTGCTACCACGCAACAGCTTCCCAGGAGGGATCATCTTTGAAATGTGTCTTTCATTCCCCCCCAAAAAAACGATCTAACTCCTGCTCCCTCGGCGCCCTCGCTGTTCTTTCAAAACTTTCCCTCAGAAGCAGATTTTGTTTTCAAACTGGTCCGTGTGTCCTGCTGTTCTCCGGCCGTGCCCTCCGTGCTCCGCTGCCGCATGAGCAGATTCACCCCGACGTAGATGTTTTTTGATGCTTCACAGGGTGTGTGTTTAAACGTGTGTTTGTGTTGAGTAGAGATATGGTTCATGGCAGGCCAGATGCAGGGTCTGGGGAGAACAGACAGATGGGTCGTGTGTGTTTGTGCTGAAGGGGGAACAGCTGGAGGTGGGGCTGGGCCGAACAGGCTGATGTTTAGAAGAAGGAAGGAAAGGAGCTTGTTTACAAGACCATCATGGTAAATGGGCTTTGGCACAGTGTCGGGTCAAAGTGTTGCGAAGCTTATTTTTTATGCTTTCTGCTGTGAGATTGTGCGTTCATTTTCATTCTCAAGGAGCCCTCTGTCTTCATTGAGGCTAGCTGATGTGTGTGTGTGTGTGTGTGTAGAGGTCAGGTGTGATATATGCACAGCTGTGGACTCCAAACGACACGTCGTTGCCAGAACAGAGGCCTGGCTCACTCAGTGACCTTCACACGCACTCGCATAAAGGGTTTTCCTGATCAACTTTAATCAGAGATGATGAGGCAACTCCTGGCACTGTTTCTGTTTCTTGGCTTTTGTTCCGATTGAGACCAAAAAAACCCACAAATTTTGTCACTTTATCTAACAGGATGTTGTTCAGTATCCTTCCTCCCTTCAAATCTTCTGATCAGTCCTTATTTCTCTTTGTCTTTCCTGAGGAGGATGCACATGTCGGAAGGCCCATTTTTGGTTGTTTCATCTGCCTACTTTCCTTCCACCATCCGTGGTGTTGGAAAAGTTTCACTCAGCCAACAGCAGCCTCCACTTCTTCTCTCCACCCTAAAGCAATCTCTATGTATGCTGTAAATCAATCAAAGGGGGACCAGATAGCAGCGGCCCAGACAGCTCTGCAGATTGCTGCACAAAACACAAACTTTCACCAGTTTGAAAGCACATGTAGGAATTAACGACAGGGCATGTGGGACACAAGATAAAGAGCGCTGGTAGCAGCACATTAAACAGATTTAAAGGGGAGTAAAATGCATAAACATGTGTGATTGGATGAGGTTAAATACATGCTTAGTCAGGCTAAGTTTCTCCAAAATAAAGAGTCTTATTCATGAATGTTTTATGATGATGCCAACACTTGCAGTGCACACGATGAATAGAGTGATGGCTGCAAAAATGCACATCAATGCAGCTCATAGGTGTCCCTTCCTTGCCTGATTTCAGCTGATCAACAGTTCAGAATCTCCTCTTTTTGTACTTTTCTATCATAGTGGGTCAAATGTTTTTTAGTTAGGGCTGCAGCTAGGCTAGTTAGCACCAGGACTCTTCTACTACAGAGCCATACTGTTGTCATATGTGTATTCTTCCAGGTTGTTTAGGTCTTAAACAACTTTTTGAGTGTTTTCAACCCTGTATAAACTGTTCATTCGACATTCAATTTGCTGTCTTTGCAGACGTTTAATCAAATATAAGCTTTGAATGATTTGTGAACCATCAAATTCTGAGTTGATCGACGTTTTATAGTGTCAGAGTTCTTGCAGAACCATGATTTCGGGTTACAAGCTGCAGTGATACAAGTACATTTTATAGGTATTTGCAGCTACTCCATTTCATTTGTGTACTGTGAGTGTGCATCAAAAAGCAAACAGAAAAATCAAGGACTGCTTAAAAAACACTCGATTTGTAAAGCTCCTCATCCAAACACAGACACAAAAGATGCTCAGAAATAGCAGGCGCCTTTATTAGAATCCGTTTTCTTTATTTACTCATGCTTTAGTATTTGCTTGTGGCTCCTTTGTCGGCAGTATTTTTGGGTTCTTTCTCGCTTTTCACAGAGATGTTTCAGATGTCTCAAATGTGATGCAGCTATAAGTCCTCGCTGCTTCAATACGACAGAAAGCACAATGAATTTTGGATGCAAACTGTGCACAACCTGAAGAGCTCACACGCGCACACACAGGCGCGTGGCTCACACTGCACAGCCTCCAGCCCCCTCTCAGTGGCTTTAAGGCCTGTTGAGAAGTTTCCATCAGGCAGTGAAGATGGATCCAGAGGCTTTTGGCAGCAGCTGTGATTGCAGTTGTTCCGAGACCAGAAGCTCTTCTGCAATGTAGCCTTTCCCTTTGAGCTCTCTCTCCCTCTCCCTCTCCTTCTCTCTCTATCTCTCTCTCCCTCTCTCTCTTTCATCCTCTGTGTTTGTCACCCACTCATAGACATATTTTTTTCCCATCTTTGCTCTCACTTGTTTTCGTCTCGATTCGAGTAGCATAATGAGGTCATTTTGCATTGCAAAAGTGTAAGCACTTACCATTTATATAGCTCAACTTTAATTGGACAGACGAGTGCATATTCAGCCCATTGTGAATGAAGAGTGTGCTTTTAAAGAGGGGATCATATAATCCCATCGGTGGGTCTCGTGCTATCACAGCACCCTTATTACCTCAGGAGTAGCTTTCATGAATCTCTTTCTTTCCTTTAAATCGGCAGAGTTACGTCTAAAGAAGTCTTATTGGCAATGTTGTCAAGATGAACATCTTTGCCTGAAAACGTAATATTCTCAGAACAAAGAACACGAGGCAGTAATAAATATTTGTCACTCTCTATGAATGATGCAGCCCCCCTTTGGGGCAATCAATAAATAAATAAATAAGCCCTGAGGGAGGAGAAGTGTTTCCAGGAAAGTCAGACTGGTGGAAAATTCAATATGGTGCATACTCTCTCTCTCCTGGAGGCAAATCTGTAGAGCAAGTCTAGCTGAATGCACCAGATCTTTTCCCTCTTGCATTGTGGAAGTTTTGTTTGTCAGAGCTTTTCATTCTGACCTGTAATTTCCCCCCTCCGTCTGCCTGATCAATGTAATTCCAAAAATGTCAGAATGCGGTGCTGAGAGACATCACCCTAATCTAATCACTGCTGTCTGAAACAAATGAACCAGCAGATGGAGAGTAATCCATAGCTCCCCTGCCATGACGTACAGATTTGTGCTTTTCATCTAAAAACAACAAGCCCTGTATCTGTCTTCATGTGACTGGCTCAGAGAGGTACTGGAGGCTTCAGAAGACGCCTGGTGGAGCTGCTCTGGGAGGCTCGAGTCTTCTGCATTATTTATGTGTTAGGCTGGAAGAGGAGGAGCAGGCCTGACCTGCTTGTTTGTTACCAGCTGACCACTGTTGGCCATCTGCTGTCGGCCAGCCTCGCTCTGTCTGTCTCTCTTTGTCATTAACACCCCCCACACTTTACCCCCCTGTATGTGTGTCTGTGATGCTGTGCTTCTCTCTGATTATCCATCAATAACTTGGTTTCTATCCAAAACAGGACACAGAGTTGGAAAAGTTTGATGGATTTCTTGCTAACTTGTAAGCACATAAATGAATATTAGCTAGCAGAAGGTTTGAAACTAAGTCCCTAAACTGGTTCATGACCTTCTGTTTGAAAAAGTTAAGTATTTGTGAAAAATGTATAAAGCTAAACAAGACAGCTTAAATACTTTGCTTATCTTTGAGGCTTATGAATCAAGGAGGATCAGCTAGCTATTAGCTTGAGCTTTAGCTTTAGCTGGCTGGTACATACACGGATGGTTGTAAAACTTCATCCTTACAGCTTTTAGGTTTTATACTCTTTTAAATGTCGGGAGAAATAGTTTAATCCTTTGACATTAAAGGTGGGGTAGGCAGGATCTGAGAAAGTGCCAGTTTTTGGGGAGAAATCTTGAATGTAAACTCTACCCCTCCCAACCAGTTTTCCCCTCAGCTCCTCCTCTCCCCTCCCTCTCTGCTCCAGTAAGCCCCGCCCACAAACAGACGCTCCTGCTCGCTCGTATCATTTTAATTAAATTCAGATAAAACGCAGATAAGTACTTCAGTTAATTACAAATGGGGCCCAGTCAATGTGAAAGTAAAAAGCATTGGTGCTACTGTCAATGCCAACAGACTACCAGCAAACACAATGTTTGCAGGACTTCTACAACTAGGATAAAGTGACATAGTCCAGGACCCGACATACTCCCAGGTCAACAGTTTAGCGGTGCTACAACACGCAGTAGATCCCACTTCTGTTACAGACACTTGGCTTACTTTGTTAAAGCGGTTTACCTGTCCAGCAGACAGGTTACAGGGTCCGTAAGATCCCGAAGCGTCCCCCATCATTGTTGACCCGGCTTTTTAGCTCTTTTAGCTCTTAGCTCTTGTCCGATCTACCTCCTTTTTAAGCGCCCGTTATTCTGCCATAGTCTCCGGTATTTACTTTCTTTTCTTGCTTGTGTTGGCAGTTGTGGCTAAAAGAGGATTCAGACAACTTTCTGTACTTTCTGGTTGGTTGCTGCTGTCCGATATTGTAGCACGCTAACTTTGTTTGGGTTCTGAACGACACAGGGGAGTAGCGTCCACCTCACAACCAGTCAGGATGGGGGAGGTGGGGAATGGCTTTGTTTACAGTCAGAAAGAGCGGGCCGCTCAAAGAATTTAAAACGTTGACTACACAGACATAACAAAACACAGCAATGTCATCCATAACTAACAGCTATTAACTGATATTAAAAGCTTTTTTGTACATACACCACAAAAAAAAGATGCTTCTTTAACGGAATCCTGCCTACTCCACCTTCAAGGCCAACAGGCGTCTTCTCTCAGTTAGCTTAATATGAGGCTAAAGCTAGCAGCAACTGTACAGAGAATGACTAAGCATATTTCATCATGCAGGGATGTGTCTTTTTGCTTTCCATCCAAGAGTCAAATAAGGTAAATACAGCTCCCGCTTTGTTTGTTACAACACATCTGTTTGCTTGAGCCTGCATTGCTGTAACACGTACCCTTGTAAAATTGCTTTCAAGGAAAAGTTGACATTTCGGGAGTTACGGTTTGATAATGTTAGCCAAATCTGAAGCAACAGAGAGCAGATGCTGAGCAATTTGTCTCAAGAAAAACAGGAGACAAGCAGAGAGCTAGCTTCATTTCCTGATAAACCATTAGAGCTTCTTGTAAAAGCATCTGCCCGTACACAACAGCATCCATCTTTGCTGTGTCTGTGAAAATGCAATGTGGGTTTTTTTTCAGTCAAAGAAAAGCTCAGGCAGGGAAATCTTCATCATATTTGATACTTGTCCAGTAATTTCCTCTTCAGATAACAGCTGGACTTGTCCTTCCTGTTTCATCCTTTTTCCTGGGTCTGCCTGCTCCTGGCTCTGGTTGAAATCATAAAGCTGGATTGGGGAGAGATAGTAATATGCTCGGCCAAAACCCTTGTCAGTGAGCCAACTGTGTTTCAGGGGCATCGTGCGAGGTATTTAGTATGTTTTCAGAGGCCCCTGATGCGCCTGTTTGCCGGCTGCTTGTTGTTTTGTTTGTTCCGACTCAGCAGATGTTTTCTGGCTCAGTTGTCCGCGCTGTGTTTTGTGTACAGAGGACCGCGGAATTGTTCTCTTTTTTGTTATTCTGGTTTTTGTGACACGTCAAAGCTATTTGGAGCCAGCGTGAATGCGGAGGTTCCCATTGTTTACAGTCAGTGGCAGCGTTTCTTTGTGCGGAAATTCGTGTGGGTGAATGTACTTTGCATAGAATATATGCATATTCAGCTTTTGCTTCTTGCTCTTTTTATTGTTTCCTGGAAAGTGTATGCACATGTGAATTGGATACCAGTGGATAATGAAAACAACAACAAAATAATGCATGCTTGTGTGGACTGAATATGCAATTTTATATTTGTGTCGATGTGCGTGAGAACAATGATGCAGATGTGGTGTGTGCAGTAGTGAGTGTGTGCCCTGGAAAATGGGCCCCTTCCCTCCCTCCCTCTTTCCCGTGCTAACCAGAGCATGTTAGTTTGTTTTTATGACAGCCTTTTTTTGGCATTGTTCTGGTCCGGTAGAGCTCACCCTCCCCACCGTGGGACTGGCCGTTAGTGGGCAGGAAGTGCCGGGAGCGCGCAGCATGAGCACACACACACACACACACACACACTCATACTGTATCCCAGCGTCCTGCACACACAGCCCCTCCCAAGCTATCGCCCCACACTCCTACATAAAGTTTTGAAAGGACAATAAAAAGTTACCCTGCGGCTCACAGGCTGGTAAGCTCCGGCTTATCCAGGAAGGAGCTGCAGCCGGGCTAATGGCCTCTCTCCGGGGTAGGCACTGCAGAGGGGCCCATGCAGGCTTATCAGCAGCAGGAGGGCCCCTACACGGCTACCCTATTTGAGCTTAGCTGAACTGTGTGGGAGTAGCTTAGCATTCGTAGCTGGTGGGAGATAGAGAGCTACCCTTGCCTATTTCCTGTTGTAGTTTTCAGTGTTATCTGGGCGGTGTAGGAAAATCAAAGTTATCCCGCCTTAAGGAAAACAGAGTTTACTCACTGTAGCGCCTCTAATTGGAAATTAAAAGTTAACCCGGTACGCCTGTGCATGTCAAGTCTGGCTGGGAAGTCAATGCTGCTCTTTATTGTTGAGAAATCAATGATAGACTCATGTGGCTTTTCTTCTCAGAGAGCACTTCACTTTAGTACCAAGGGGCCCTTTTGGCAGGTGTGAAGAGGATAGCGGTCAATGTGTGAAAAAGCCTTTGAATATCTCTGCAGCTGAGGTGTATTTCTTGTCTTTCATTTAGATCTCTCTAAATGAAAAGACGGCAGGATGTGCAGAATATGACTGAAAGTGAGACGAAGTGACTGACTAATCAGATTTCGCCTCATAGATCCCGGTGAGATGACTCCGGCGTGATCTGAGCTCATGAGTCACTGCTCCCTCGCTTCGCTTATAGTGAAACGGGAACTGATGCTGCGCTCAGAGCAGCTGCTAACTCCACTGCAGCGAGTTAACCTGTCACTGTTACTGTCGCCTTGTTTGAAAGATCTGCTAAACATGAGACTCCTATTTAACCCTGAATGCAAAGCGAATGCAGACTGTGCTGCAGCATGCCAAGATATACTGAACCTGCTGTTTGTTTTCGTTGACAGTGTCGCCTCCTTTTCTGCTTGCCTACTTTGCATACTGCTTGTGATAAATGTTATTAGATGCTGAGAATACCACACACTGTAATTACTCAATGCAAATAGGGGAAGCAGATTGACATATAGCAGGGTAAAGGACACTGATGGCATCTTTAATAGGATAAAACAATGCTAAATGTCACTGTCATGGTGGCTTCATGTTAAATGAATATGCCAGCTGTCTTGTGTAACCATCCATCCATCCATCCATTATGCATATAGCTTATCCGGTTCAGGTCACAGGGGGTTGTAGACAACCCTGGCTGTCATTGAGTGCAAGGTCGGAAACATCCTGGACCAGTTGACAGTCAATCAAATGGTATGACACAGTGATCAACACAGTGATCATGACTTTGGACTTCGTGGGAGTGAGGGAGTAAAAGGCCAAGGAAGAGGCCATGCAAACTCCTCACAGAGGGGGGCCCTGCCTAACCAGGATCTGAACTAGAAAGTCCTCTTACTATAAGACTAATTGTACCAACCACTGCACCACCCTGCAGCCTGCACAGTAGGAACCTTCTGCTGGAAACCAACGAGTCTTAGCTGAAGCAATTACTTTTCACTGCTTTCACCAAAACAAATTAGAACTGAAACTTCAAACTTTAAAATTTAGTTGCAGTAGGAGTGGGAAGAATCCGCCAAGTAAGCACCAAACTGTCATTGTACATAATGGCTCAAAATGGTTTTGTGTGTATGCTCCAGTTCAGTTAAGTGTTTGGACTTGCATGCACACTTTAAAGGGATATTCCGGCGTAAAATTAATTTAGGGTCAAACACACCGTAACACTGAGTTAGACACCCCCTCAAGAGATGAATGTTGCCGACCGCTTGCTTCTCTAGTTATACCAACTTTAGTAATGACCGCAAGATAGCAATACACAGCGGTCTATGGAACCACACACAAATCTAAACCAAAACGCCACTCTATATCCACAAATAATGCTCAGAACAGCACCTAACCTCATCAACAGGACATATAGGGCCAGCCACAGCACTAGCCACCAAACATCTTCTTAGCTTTCTCTAATTTCTCTAGCAAAGAGACTCAATGAAACTCACCTACTCTCTTCCAGCAGCCGCTTGTCTGTAGTGAGACCTCGGGCCAGTCCATTACGGACTGCTGCGGGGTGTCGCAGCTTAAGGAAGAACGTTTATGATCATTTCTTCATGGAAATGCAATCAGACCGAGATGCTAAAGCAGAAGAACAACCGCGTCTGCATGGTGATTATTACTTCAAGGAAATGATAAAGAAATTATCATAAATGTTCTTCCTTGAGCTGCATCACCCTGCTGCAGTCGATGGACTCACCCAGTAGTCTCTGTACAACCAAGTGACTGCTGGAAGAGAGTGGGTGAGTTGTATTTAGTCTTTTTGCTAAAGAAATTCGGCAAAGCTAAAAAGATGTTTGGTGGCTAGTGCTATGGGTAGGACCCTATATGTACTATTGATGAAGATAGCTGCTGTTCTGAGCATTATTTGTGGATATAGAGCGGCGTTTTGGTTGAGCGCGTGGCTCTAAGTATTTCTAACCTGCAGTCATTACTCAAGTTGGTAAAACTGGAGAAGCAAATGGTCGGCAACATTCATCTCTCAAGGTGCCGTCTAACTCAGTGTTGCTGTCTGTTTGACCCAAAATTAATTTTACGCCGGAATATCCCTTTAAGTTTTTGGACTTCACAGCTGAGTATAAGCTGCATACACACTTTAACTCACTCTGACTGTGTGGAAATCTGGTAATAAAGAAAGGCATTATAATGCAAGTTAAACGAATGGAGTTGAAGAGTTAAATGTGGCGTGAGTGTCAGCAAACGGTCATGAGATGGAACTGTGAAGGGGGTGATTTCTCAGGACAGAATTGTATTCAAAGTTATTTAAGGAGCTGCGGCATGGCTAGCTGCTCCACCGGCCCCATCAGCTATGCAGCAGTAGTTCCTCCGTCAAGTCTTAAAGCTGATGGAGACTGCTGATAGTGACAGCACTGTTAGGAAAGTTGACGGTTGACACTTATCTCTGTCTAGTCTCTGAATTCTGAGCTGAGATGAGGCAACCCCAGAGTTATATTAAGTTCACGTAAAGGCCACTGTAGCTTTTGTTGTTTCTGATTAAAAGCACGATTCATTCTGATTACGTGAGATGCACTTTTTCTGGTCTTGGTGATGTCAGCTGCTGAAATCCAACACCGAACTATAAATATCTGTGCTCTCCGCAGCAGGACCCCTGTTAACCCCTTGCATCAAGTATAAATCTAGCTGTATTGATCCACTCTCTCCCGCCCTGCGTCTACACACTGCTAGCTTAGCACTGGGCTTGTTTATTGGCGCTCACGCTGGTCAGCACCTTATTGGCCTCACCTGGAGTCCTGCACCAGAATCTGCTCTAAGCCCAGCTGTATCAGCAGCTGCAGACATAATAATCCTGTTGTTGAGGTGTTGGTCGGGCTCGTGGGCTGGGGAGGGGGGTGAAAGAGAGAGACTAAGTGCATTTGCCCCCTCACCCAACCCTATCCTGCTGCAGACTCACCTTTAACCCCCGGCTGGCTGCACCTCTCCCAATCCCCTGCTGCTCTTTTCCAGTCCACTGCTCTGTGTGAAGAGAGGGATGGAAAAAGAGAGAAACAGTCAAAGGGATAAGGGCACAGTCGTGTGAGAGAAAGGAGATAAAAGGCTGGGGGTAGACAAACGCAGACTGGTAAGAAAGGGGGTAATAGAAAAAAAAAATATACGGGTTGCCAGGTTTGCTCCACTTTGAGAGAGGGAGAGATTGGAAAGCTTGCATGCCCAGACAACAGCCCTGAGGAACCAAGATAAGAGGCGACCAGCAGTCAACAATTACACCATCAATTTCCAACCTGGCTTTCACCTTCTCCTTTCACTCTTGTTCGATCTTTCTCATCTTTTGCTTCTTGGTATTCTCTTTTCTCCTCTCTGCTTCCTGCTGCTAAGCTCCCTGTGTAGTGTAGTAATAGAGCTCTCAACAAAGAACCTCACATACACGCAAAGAAAACACACACTCACATATACACTGTATTATCCTCTGACACATATTCACACTCACATTCATGCTCTACTGGCATGAATAAAAGTTGTTCAGGAATCGACTAAAATATAGAAATACAGCACCTAGACTGCATTGACTCCTACAATTTTATGTTACTCCATTATATTTATGAGGGAAACTATTACCTTAACATTTGCCCATTAAAATACACATTTTGGGTTAAGATTTTGTTAGTGTAAGGAAAATTGATGGATTAGAGTTGGAGAACTTTTGGAAAAATGTATTAGCCTCGCATGAGTACTTCTGTTTCCATTATTTAGTATTTTTGTTAAGTACTAGAATGAAAGTTTTGATGCACTCATAAATGGTTATTGATATGGCAGTATATCATTGTCCTGACCTGTGTGACACAATCATTGATGTTGACATGGATGGAGGCGATGTGAATGGCAGTTAAAGGTGCGCTGTGTAGTGTTTAGCGCCACCAATGCCTCACTGGTGATGGGAAGAGCAAGGGAGCTATTCAACCTAGAGTCTAACCACTCAATAAGTATTCACATTTAGGCCTGAGAAGAGGCATAATACCAGAGGGAGGCACTGGGGTGTCAGTCAGTGGTGAGAAGAAGCTTAGAGATGTGCTACCCGAAGAAAGACAGGAAAGGCTAATCCAGTTCTTTTTGCTCAAATGAGTCAAAAGGTGGAGGGTGCACTCCAGTCTGCAGAGAGAGTCTTTCCCACCTGCAAAAGGTTGATTTCCTAAATGCAGAGTCCTACATGAAAATTACTGCAAACACATACATTTCTATGTGATACTAATGTACCAGAAGAACAAGTTGAGCTAAAGCTTTTGGAGGTCTGGAAACCAACTACAAAGGAATCAGCTGCATTCACTGTTATCCAGGCTTTAGCTGTAACAGTTACAATCATACAGGTTTACTTTAAAGCTCCTGTGAGGAACTTTCAGTTTGTGAACACTTCAGCACCCCTAGTGGTCAAAGAAGTCTTTGCTAATTGTGTCCTCCGCATGTGTAAATCGTATAATTTGACAAAAACTCTCATACCGCTGACTTTTGACAGTCAAATGTAACATCTATTGTAATGAGGCAGTTTCGAAAACGGACACCCACCCCTTTACTCTGGTTTTAAGCATTAAAAATAAGAGTATAAAAATCGTCAATCTTGTCCCTGGTGGTCTTACTTGCTTTTGGACATCAATATAAATTTTAGCCTGTTTCATAAATGTCAAAAAATTCTTACTGGAGCTTTAAAACAAGGTGATATTTCAAAGTTAAAGCATTTAATGTGAACAGGTTATGTTTGTTGATTTGTTCTGAAATGTGTAACTTAATTTCTGGTGGTCTAACAAACATTTTCCATCTTTCAATGTGTTTTTAATGGCTTTTAAGTGAGAAAAACATCCCAAAAATGTGTTCACTTCCATAAAGCTTTGATGGATTGGCAAAATTAAGCACTACTAATGAATCTGCATTCCTGTATGTGTTTACATTTCACTTTGTTTCCCATACCAAGCAAAGGCGGAGGGATACATATGGGTGGTCATATGTTTGCTTTCTGGCAAACAAAACAATAGCAGTGCACTTAAATATGACTGGAATAAATACACCCACAGATCTGATATAGCAGCATTGGCTGAACATCAGATTCCATTTATTTTAAACCCGGGAAAAGCTAAATATAACATTAAATTGCGCAAAAATACATCTTTACTTCCGTAGTGACGTTCAACACTCAAGATCCTGAATGAAAAGTTTTTCAATGAGCCAAAGCAGCGACGCGCTACCGTTACTCTCTCTAACACACAATCACAACATCAGGCAAAATGGGAGGCCATGTGCATTTTCTCACACACTTCAAATTGTGTTAACGCAGTAACACATGTGCGCGGTTGCATACAGTTTCATAGCCGCACACAATCACTGACACATTGCCTCTATCCTTTCTCACACACACAAACACACACACACACACACACTCATTCAGGCCTGTGGCATATGGAACAGTTTATCCGGCAGTGTTATTTTTTTTCTCTTACCTATTAGGCAAAGTCTTTTTCAGGAACACCAGGGAGGAGAGAGAGGCAAAGTCTTTATTATGATTTTTTTGCCTGAGGTTAGACCAGCCGTGGAGAACAAACACACACATAGAGACGCGCACACACACATACACACACACACACAACCAGGCTTACACACTGAGAAAAACCTCTGAGCCCCCTCCGCCTCTACGCTTCAGAAAATCAATAACACGTCTCTTTAAAAAAAGGCTGAAAACTAATAGAAAGAGACAGTGAGGGAGTGAGAGGGGGATGCTGATGAACCCAATAACACACACACACACACACACACACACACACACACGAATAATCACATACACACACTCACTTAATCTCTTTTCATCTTGATCATTCATTTTCTCTGCTGATTTAGCTTTTTTCTCTGTCTGCCCCTCAGAAGATAGATAGATAGATAGATAGATAGATAGATAGATAGATAGATAGATAAGAAAAATGAAGTGAAAAGAGTGTCAATTTGAAGCAACTTAGTTTCTAAATTTCTCCCTTTTTAAAATTCATTGACTGTCCATCCTCCATCCCTCCATCCTCCATCCCTTCATCTGGCCTGTCCTCTCATATCTCTGCGGCTGAACAGCTCTGATTTGTGTACCAGGATTAAATTCCTCAAATTTGTCTTTCACTCCCTGTGGGAGAGGACCGTGCTTTTTAATTAATTGATTTTGAAATTAAGTTAGCTGCTGAGTGTGTGGGCTTGTGTGCGAGTGTGTGTGAGCAGGTGTGTGTATGTGGGTATCAGAGTGTATGTGACTGTGTGTGTGTCTCTATCTCTCTCTCCTTTTCCCCAGTGCTCAGCAGGCTAACAGAAGGGGTGTGGTTGTGTGTTTTGCAGAATGTGTGCCTGTACTTAAATCTACTTGTGATTATAGAGTCAGAAAAGCTAAAAGCGGCTGAATTGATGCTGAATCTGAATCAAAAATATCTAACTGATGCCTAAATTTCGGTTTTCTAGTGTGGTATTTGCAGTTTCGTTGGAAAGCTTTGACATGAAACTAACAGAGAGGTGCTAAAACAAACTGCAGTTCTCCGAGTGTCCACTTGAGGCTGTTTGCAGACACGCCAGAAACCAAGTGCAAACAAATAAACATGTGTACAGCCTGGTTCAAATAACAGCTTCGGTCTGGTTAGCTCCATCAGCAACAAGGATATTACATTCAGCATGAAAACAAACCGATATAAGGCCAAAAATGTTGCAGAAGATGTTCATGCGCTTCAAGTTTGTTTACTGAAAGGGGAACCATGAGGTGAGTTGAGGTATCAGTCAAGCTTAAAGAGAAGGTATCCTGTTGGGTCAGTGCTCAGTATCAAAGGTTTGCCTAATAATGAGGTCGTGACCTGATACTTCATAGATTTAGGGTCAGGCTGTAAATGTTGAGGTCACATGACAAGCTCATGGCCTGCTGTTTGTCTCCACTTTGTTAAGATGTCTCTAAATTTAGTGTTGTGCGTTTTTGCTTCAGACTCGCTCTGGTTGTCCACCTTTTACGAAACTTTGTTCTTGATTCGTAACTTTTCAGTGTTGATGAATCCCAATGCTGACTTGAGCCTTGTCCGTCTCTTTCAAAATGACACAAGCTCCTGTGACAAACTGTTGAAATAAAAAAGGACAGTGGCAGATAAGACGTATCATTTAACGCACAAGCATGCGTTTTTTATTATTTGGATATATTGTGAAATTGTTACCTTACTTTGTGACAACCATATCACGACAAACACACCACTATTATTGTCTCATTTTTCCTACGGTGGCAGCGAGCGCTGTAGGATCAGCGGCGTTGAGAACAGATACAGACTTGTCAAACGGCGCTGAGCCGCTGTGATAAATGGTAATCAGAGCTTACATGAAAAAGCCTTCTCCGAGCGTAATTACATCCTTCTTCATCTCCCCACCAAACCACTTCACCTGTGTGCCTCCGTCTTCTTTTTTTTTTTATTCCACCCAAGATCAAAACCAAACTGCTGAGCTCCTCCTGAAGTGTTTTTTAACTGCAGCTGCTAAGAGTGGGTTGTTAATAACGTGTAAGATTACAGACTTTATCAAGACGTCCTACTTGATCAGACTTGAACCTGCATTAAAGTGAATCCAGTCCAGACAGAAAGTACAGAAAATATGAATGAACTTCAGATCTTAGCTTACTTTTTAAGTGTTTGTCAACTCTTTTTGACTTTTAAAAACTCGCCACGTTAATTTGCAGTTCACGTCGAAGTTCAGTGTAACTTTAGAAGTGATGGCTTACTGGAAAAGAAAACTATTTTAATTGGATTGAGGATGGTTTCATTTAATAAGATCAGCAAACACAAGAACTGTTAAAAAAAAAAAAAGCCTCGTTCACTTAAAGGGATAGTTCAGTTTTTTGAAGTAAGAGGTTACAGCTCTTTAAATCCAACCACTAGAGGTGAGGCCAATGCAACCGTGTAATGTACCTCATTCTTAGAAACTCCAACCCAAACACAGATATCAGTAAGTGTGAACTGCTGTTAGCAGGTTTTCAGCTCTTGAATTATTTACAGAAGTATGTTCACCCCCGGCTACTACGGAGGCAGACAGTGTGCAATCTCTCGAGCATGTGCAGAGTTTCGCCCAGTATCAATCCAATAAAGAGACAGTCTAAGCCAACAGATAATATAGTTTAAGGTGATGAATATTCCTTTTGCTGCTTAAACTTCAAAAATTGGTAAAAAGTTGGAAAAACAGTCAAGGACCTCTGGGTGGTGAGCGATGCAGACAGCAGCCACATGTGAGCCACAGTTATCCTCTCGTTCAGAAAGCCGTAAATACTTTATTTTAATTGGATTGAGGATGATTTCATTTAATGAGATCATGAAACAAAAGAGCTGTTTAAAAAAGAGCCTCGTTCACTTTGAGGGATATTTCAGTTACTTTTAAGTAAGAGTGTAAGAGATTATGGCTCTTTAAATCCATCCACTGCAATTGAGACCAATGCAACCGCATAACATACCTCATTCTTTGAAACTCCAACCGAAACACTGATATCAGTAAGTGTGAACTGTTTTTAGCTGTTTTTCAGCTCTTGAATTATTTACAGAAGCGTGTCTATACCTGACTACTATGGAGGCAGACAGTGTGCAAACCTTTGAGCATGTGCAGAGTGCTTAGCCCAGTATCAGGCGGAATACATTAAAGAGACAATCCAAGCCAATAGCTGATATAGTTTAAGGTGATAAAATTTACTTTTTGCTGCTCAAACTTCTATAAATAAAAAAAAATTTGAAAAACAGTCAAGGACCTGTGGGTGGTGAGTGATGCAGACTGCAGCTACATGCGAGCCACAGTTATCCTCTGCTTCAGAAAGTCTAAAATACTGTTGTTACAAAGCAAAGCACTGAGATTTTCCCTGGATGGATTATATTTATGCTGAAACTGAAGTTTGGGCCAGACTTTCTAAAATTAAATTAAATTAGGTGGTACAAATGGCCCGGTCTGCCCAGCTTCTGCCAGTCCTACAGCTGGTTTCTCAACAAAGGAGTGATCTTCGGCGATAAACACACTGAGTATTGGAAAGTACGTCTTGTAACCTGACTTCAAAAAAACTGAGCCATACTTTTATGAGATTTTCCATTGTTTCTTTTTATGATCCCAGGCTAGATCAGGAGGAGGGGGCTTTAACAGGAGACATTAAGCAGCCTATTCTGGTAAGAAGCCTAACTGAGCCAATTATAGTCAGTGTAATATGAGGGTTATGTCGGGTGACTCTGCGCGTGCAGACCTGCGTGTGTTCACACTGTCATAATTACCAACCTGAGTCCACGTCTGTCTGTGTGTGTGTGTGCGAGCGCCCTGTGTATGTGCTGCCCTATGTGCTACTGTGTTGATGATTTCTCTTTGTTGCTCCTACACGAACACACGCTTTGTTTCACAGAGCTGTTGTGTTGCCGCCGAACGTCTCTTGTATTATGTAAAACACAAAACCGTCCTCTCTGGAGCCACGTCGGCCATCCCAGCATGCTGCCTCAGCGCTCGTAGTGTATGAAGATCGTGTTGCTCATCAGCCGGCTGCTGCTGAGTGCGTCACGCTGCTGGTGGTGGATCTGCTGCATACTGTCAGGCCCACGCCGTCTGTCGCAGTGTGTTTGTGTGAGTCTGTGTGTGTGTGTGTCTTTTTCTCTCATTCTTTGTGTATCTGTGTGTGTGTGTGTTTGCTTTTGTTTCTCTGAGCCTGTGTGGTGGTTTCTTTGTGTCTGCATCCATCTGAATGTGTGTTCACCTCGAGCAGCATTCTCTTTGTGTCTGAATGTGGGTGTGAATGAGTCTGTGTACCTACTTCAGTGTGTGTTTTTCTGCCCTTGACTCTGTATGTGTGTGTGTGTGTGTGTGTGTGTGTGTGGGTGCGCCGTTGTCTGAGTGCTTTGTGTCTGCGCCTCCTCCAGCGTTATTAATAATATATTTCTGCATGTTTTGTGTTTGTTTGCATGATCATGAACACATATATCGGATGCACAAAGCTCCCGCTGCACTTTAACATTTCTGCCGGGTGTTTTAAGCTTGGAGATTAAGATTTGTGCACGAACACACTTTACACACACACACATGGCTGCAACCACAAACACAGACACAGTGATGACAAGACTGACTCACAAAGGGGTTTGGGAAAGTGTGTGTTTGGATCCGTGTGAATGTGTTAGGGGGGTGGGCTTTGCTAGATCAACAAACACATGCGCTCCAGTATTCGACACATTCATGCACACTGCTGTCACATACTCTTTCTCTGCCATACATGCTGCATCACACCTCCCACACACACTCTCTCAAACAATCCTACACACAGAGAGAGAAACACACACACACATGGTTTGGAATCAATACCCGGAGATCAAATGTTTGCAGTTAAGATTTAATGGAGTGTTTCTTTACCGTTCGGCTGTAGCTCGCAGTATAAAACCCCGCACACGAGCATACACCCTCAAACACCTGAGAAAGTGTGGCGGGATCAGTTTTAGTCCCTGATACCAATGATGAAGACGTCAGTGTGTATTTCTGAGGCCGTGTGCTTGTGTTTTTGTTCACTCTGCAGCAGCAGCAGCAGTAGCAGCAATTGAAGGGGGCATATTGACTTATCGCTCCCAGCCTGGGGAATGTGAGGATGGTCAATTCTTCATCATTTATTTAGATAGAGGGACTGCACAGGTAGACACTATCAAGAGCTGAGAGAGACCAGGACCCCCCCAAAAAAGGCCCAGGAATTGTCTAACGTTTTAGTGAGCAAATAAAAGGTTCTTTTCACAAAACTGCAGTTCCTTTATTTACCACTTGAGGCTGACTCCAAAAGCCAGGAAATCCCCATTAATACCCATTTTAACAGCAGTGTGCAAGAGATGATTTGGTTACATCAAGACTTAAGAGCTATATATAGATTTACGTTATGTAGGGCTTGAATCTATCGACCAAGAGATGGGTATGGTATGGCCTGAGTTAGTCCCAGTTGGTCAACAATTAAACTCTGGAACCATCACTGACACAGATGTCAACTTTTATCGCTGTTAATTCGGTTTGGAGCTGAAATGTTTATTTCACTTACTACTGAAAACCCCCAAAATCAAAATGTCCCAAACTATATTTATTGATCTTGTTTGATACATTAGATGATTTTGGAAACTGATAAACTACAAGAGGACATTTTTATCATTTATTGGACTGTATTCAGATGTTTTTTTAAAGAATTTGTCGATCATATTGATTTGATAGAAGTATTTAAAAGTATATATCAAATATGATAAAGTTTTACAGATTACTGGAAATCCGCTGAGGGCATTTGCTCTGGCTCAAGTTGTCCGTGATCCATCTTACCATGTAAGAGATGGTTTGAATCCTTCTTCCTTTCAGCAAAACAAATGAATTATGGGTAAAGTTTCAACCTGACAACTTTAGAGACGTCCAAATTTAACAGACCTAAAGGACTCAAAGTTGTTTTTTCCATGTTGATGTCCTTGTTCAAAGTTAATTTATGTAAAGTAATGCTGATAATTAACAATTTACAGATTCATGAATAGTGTCCCGCTCTGGTAGTTTATACATAATGTAAAGTCATATTAGGAAGAGTAGTATTTCTTAACTTTATATCCAACAGAGAATGCAAATGATAAAAAGTTTGACATTTCATTTCTCCGGTTAGGAAACTATTCACAGCCTCAGAAAGTCCCTTCCTCGTAAAGTAAAGAATTAATCTTCTGAACACTCTCTTTTTTGTATTAATATTGGGTTAAAACCCAGTGAACTTAAGGTGAGGCAGCACTAAGCCATGCTAAATGTCTCCAGATGTTAGTGCATATTCAGAGTACAGATAATAATATAAGAGCGAGTGACTTTATCCCTCAAGTTGACGTATTATTTCTTGAGGGAGACAAACATCCATTGGACAAGCTATAGAAACTAGGAACCCAGGATGTAAGGAGGCTAGAAGATGCTCCAAGAGGCCATTATAAAAGGTGAGAGACTCAGAAAGTGCCAGTCGGAAAAAAAGGAGGAAATGGAAACTGAAATAAATGAAAGAATGTAGAAAAAAACTCTGAGAGTGAATGGGAGCCAGAAAAGTGTCAAAGATGATAGAAAAAGTCTAAAAAAAAGTGAGATTGTAGGATGCAGAGAAGAAAAAGAAAACATCCAATGTGTCAGATGAAAAAAACAGAGGCTGGATGTGTGATGTGTGTCGTCAGCAGCTCTGTGACTTCTGCTTTGTGACCGCAGACCTCCTCTGCACTTCATTTATTGTCACTTTTTATTTGATTTCCCTGCACCGCCGTCGTTCTCCCCTCCCTCTTTGCCACCCAGACACCCTGCTACTTCTGTTTTTTCCACTGCAGCAACAAAATGGCCTAGTTTTTTTTTTTTCTTCTTTGCTCTAACCTTGACTTAGAGGGACAGACTGTACGGCTCTTTTACTCCTTTTCGGTGCTTTGATGGGATTGAAGATTTCAACATTTTGTAAATCATAGTTTGTAAATCAAAGCTTTGCGGTTTGAGTAAGGAGTTTGTTTTCTAACATCTGCTCACCAAATTTGTCGACCTGGAAACGTGTTTACTTCAGAAGACCTCGGCAGTCAATGTGCGATACTATGTGAATGAAAAACGCGTTGAAGTGTCTTGAATTTGACACATTTATTTTAAGCCATAGCCGTTTTTATTTGCACGCCGCTGAAACAGTCGGCCCACCACTGGCTTTGCTTATGCGCAGATGTGGCTTCAATTTAGCAGACTGGAGACATTTTTCCATCTGAAGGAGACTGCTGAGCTTTTGATTCGAAGGCTGACAGCGTGTGTCAGCTACCAGTGGGCTCTGCATCCATTCGGAGGCAGGTTTGTTTATGTTGATATTATTCAAAATACTCTGCAATTAGCGACGGATGACGGAAAATGTTGAAAAAACGTCCCAGTGACAAAGCTGCATGTGTTGACAGTTTGTAGGAATAAACAGCAGGTTTTAAAAGCCGATCTTTATGTTTTGGTTGGTGTAATATGAGGTGGATTTTATTGAGTCTCCATCTGTGATTGTAATGTCGGTGAAGTTATTTTCCTGCTTTTTTTTTTTTTTACTCTCTGGAGCATCTGGATCATCAGCCTGAAAACACGGCAGTAAAACTCATCTCAAGGCTCCTTTCTTAAACAGGGCTTGAAATTAACTTTTTTACTTGGTGGCACCGGTGCCCCTGATTTCAAAAAGTTCAGAGCATCAGCGACAATTTAACAACACCCTTGAAAAATTAGGGATCACTGACATTTCTTGCTTTTGGCGCTCTCTCCATGTTTGGTCAAGCTGTACTGCACTTAAAGCTGCACTTAAAACGCATACATCTGTGGCAAATGCAGTCTTACCTACAACCTCAGTCCCACGGGCCTTAGAGTGAACACAGAGCACTGTGCCATGTTCACAATGGACCTATTCACAGTCTTTTTGCCGCTCACTGGACTGACCTTTTGCACGTGACGTCACCGTGTCTGCCAGCCCACGCATGGAAGCTAAAAGGGATGTTACTTACTTGATGCTTGTGCTTGAACTCTCTTAACCACACATTTGCCGCTGTGATCTAAATATTCAAGAGCAATTATCACCTGTTTTACAGGGTAGTAGCTGCTTATGTGCTGATATACAAAGGCATATTACAGCTTTTGGTGTTTATTTAAATGCATATTTGATGGCTTTTTTATGATATTCAAACACAAACATGACATACATTTAACTGGTTTTAATAGACGGCATCACATCACTCCAATTTTAGCCTCCCCTCACTGGCTTCCTGTCAGTTTTAGAATTGATTTTAAGATTTTTATCGATTACGTTTAAGGCTCTTATTATTACACTTGCTTCCAAACATATTCTGAGGTTGTGCTGATTAAATTATGGGAGCCTATGCACCCAAAATAGTTGCAGTTCTGGATCCTCTTTTAGTATTCGTAGTTCATTTCAGCATTATGGAGTTTTTCAGAATAAAATTAGCTCTCTATCAAGGCTTTCTTTTTGCAATTTAAGTGTTAAATTTCTTTATCGAGCAGGAACGCTTAACACCAGCGAGCATCAATCTTCTAAAATCTAAATCTAAACCGTTTCACTAACCTCTCATTTTCTCTCTCCCCACTTGAAAGAGAGAGGTTATCCGTGCAGTATTACAAGGCGAGCAATCTGCCCGCATCGAGCGGCCAGCAACTGCATTAAACAGGTAGCATTACACTTTAACACGGTTTCTCAGCGTCCATTATCGTGCCATTGATTCCAACTAAGCTCACATTGAAAATGGATAAAATGAAAGCGAGACGAGCCTTTGAGTGGAGAGTTTCATCTCCAGCGGTCTGACAGTTTGAAGCACACCGTGTTTTTTGGCTCGGGGCCTGCTGTGATCTCATGACGAGGTGATATAATCCTTGTTGGTCATGGTGTCTGGGCTGCCAGTTGTTTACAATTTAGTGAGTCACAGAGTGTGCGATGAATGTAAATATCTGGCGTCGCTTCACCTCCATTTTAGAGGGATCATTGAATTTGCATCCATGAACACACGCCAGAAAACAAGCCAACGTGATGTGTTCTGGTAAATATAGTCTCCTCTAAGATCACGAGGATGCTGCAGTCATTTCTTTTTTCGATTTAGAAGAGGAAAATGAGCCTTTTTTAAAAAAAAAAATCTTATTGAAGATATCCTAAAGGGTTTAGAGGTCAAAGTTCATTCCCGCCACTGAGTTTGCTCAAACCCAACAGGGAACATTTCAACGATTTTACCCTCACTCACTGTGTTTTTTGCTATCTCTCCCCGTCCACATCATCAGAAAGCAGCATGAAAACCATAAAATATTGTCGTTGAGTTGGAAAAAGAAATTGCATTTTAACCAAAAGTGAAATGCAGCCTCTCCAGAGCGAATGGCGAAACTCACTAGCTGTTCTTCATTTACCGAGCAAAAACGACCCGCTGAGGTCGGGGGAGAGTCACGTGCTCTGGTCCTGAGCTCCCTTGCAGATCGGGGCATGACTTCCAATTTAACTTGTGACAGGATGTGCATCGTGTCAGTTTCTGCAAGAAGAACAAGAAAAAAGTTGGTGTAAAATGATGGAGCACTCTGTGATTAAACATATGCTCACTTCATAAAGCTTTTATTTGTTTGTTTTGCTTGAGCTTTGCTGTAGTAAACACTCTCTGTTATGTAATTCATCCCCTCGAGGATGCTCCGGAACAAGTGGCATCATGGGAAGTTACGTGTCTTGAATTTGGCAGCAGCGGTTCGTCGGGAACGAGAGGGAGAATGTGGTTTAGCCTGATAGAGACAGACACTGCGGATTTGAAGAAGGAAAGAGAGTGCCACCTACAGAAGCCCAAACTTCATCAGCAGAACATCCGAGTATTAGCAGAGGATTTTCCCCAAACAGAATCCAACTAAAGCTGTGTTCACACTGGCATTAACGCCGCATGGAAAAACACAGCCGCCTAATTCACTTAGATGAGAATTCTGACTCGTACATTGGCGATGTGGATGCAGAGGGCTCTTCCAGACTGTGTTCTGCTTATGCAAAGACAGGAACACAAGACGGCTGATTATAAGCCCCTGCTATTAGCTTAATTAGCCTGCCAGCTTCCTTCATGTTCGGGATCACCTTGAGGTCCAGTTCTAACCCAGAAATAATTCCCATCCTTCTGTTCCCACTGCATTGGCTCTCTGCATGCATGGACTTGTTTTAATCAAGTCACACATTTTTAGGCTGCAAATGACTGGACCGTGTGGATAGTCACAAGCACGGCAAGGGGTCAACATTTATATCACATGGTTGCCAAGGGCAACGGGGATAAGTTTTGTATAAACTGGGTTTTATTAAAGGTGTCAGATTGGGTAAAAGAAAGCAGCAGCAGGGTTTTCCTTTTGTGGAGGGTCACCAGAGGTATTGAAATGAATAATCACAGACGTAGAACCGTGTACAGGGTCCAGGATTGAGAGCCAAACCCTCCCTGAGCCAACAATTTTAAATGAGGTCCCACATTGGGTTAGGTGGGCTTCCACTGGGCCTGGGCTTAGCGTGGGCTTTGAAGTGAGCTGGATTTGGAGTTGAAATTGGCAGAGAAAAATATACATAACATTAGAAAAAAGACGAGAATAAACACAGATATCGAGACTAAATGGGCCCCAAGTGGGCTTAATCCTCCCATATGGGCCTTATATGGATCCCACTAAAGAACCTCTTATTTAAGTACTTCGGCTGCTCACACATTCAGAGCCGGCAACAGTGCAGTAATGAAGTTCTGCTGGAACTGAACCCTCGCACGTACGCACTGCATCTACATAATATTGGTGTCCCAGCGTGCAATTTAATGATGTGTTTAAGCTGCAGAAGCACCAGAGGCAAGCTGAATGCACAACTTTGACACGCTTCAACATACCTTATCCTCATACCCTAGAACCTAAACCTGAAACTGATTTGTTGATCAGTCCAATTGGAAATAGACTTTCAAAATGCAAATAAAAATATTAGTCCAATGTCCAGTTAAATTACTGAATCAAGCTCTAATGCTGCGTTCCACTTGTACTCGGAAGTCGGAATTTCCAAGCTCCAAGTCGGATATTCATCTAGAATGCCCCCTGAAGTCGGAAGTCTTGAAAAGTTGTACAATCCTCACCAACCTGACTTGACGACAACCACTAACAACAGCTGACAACAGCTAACGACAGCCGACAATTGTTAACAACAGCTAACAGTAGGCGTCCATCTTGGTTTTCTGACTTGTTTACTGGAACGCCGTCAACTTGGGCGTAACATCATTCCCAGCTCCAACATCCGACTTCCGAGGGTAACTGGAACGCAGCATAACTGTAGCTCCACTCAGCTGTGCATGTAAACATACTGTTGTGCTTCTGTAACCGTGGTAACATAGTTGTACAGAGCGTCTTTAACTGATACAAGCTCGATAAGCAATATTGAGCCATTGCAAGAAGACAGTAGGTAAGCTCTGTCAAATACAGAGGATGTGTTGGCAACAAGCTACGGACAGCTAACAGCTAAGTTAGCAGCCAGTTAGCTCTACTCCAGCCAACTTCTAGCCACCATTGATATTCTTATAGGCTTAATTCATGCAAATCTAGATGCGTGAATGAATAATATTTTATGGCTTCATTTGCGCTTCAATGGTAATCCCTGCCAATTCATCCAGTGGAATTTAGGTAATCCGACCTCCTCACTCACTTGCCTCCAGGCTAGCTCCTTTTTATTCTGGTTTTAGTAATTGAAAGAAAAGGTATCATGTAATTCGAGGCACCCACACACCGACACAATCAGTTTGTCCTCCATTGTAGATACCAGTGAACAACCATCCGTTTTCTTGCGTCACCCGGCAACCTTCATGCTGGGTAGTTATTGCGACGCAAATATCCGCTCAAGTTGAGATTCTCCCAATTTGCGTCATTCATGCCGCCAATTTCGTAGGAGTGTCTCATTGCGACTTTGCATTGATTTAACATTAATTAATTCACGTAAATGATTTTACTCACGCTTGGTGTGTGGAGACAGAATACATGCAGTGCACATACAAACCCCCCTTTAGTCCTATAGGTAACATCTCTGAAGGATTTTTTAATGGAGTCTTGCAGGTAAAGTCTGGATAAAATTCAAGTGCTTTTTACATGCAGCACCATCTGGGTAAAGTCAGGGAATTTGGGTGATTTTTTTTGCATGAGTGAAAAGGCCTCGATGTTCTTGCTAAAGGGCACTCAGGCCTGCCAAATGGTAGCAAATAGGCTGTGAGCATAAACATACATGAATGGATTTATCAGGACTAACAGGACGCACATGGAAAGTAACATTTTTGCAGAAGTGCATATTTTTTGGTCTTTGAAGCCGGTGTTGTTTCTCTCTGCTAGACTCCACCTGACTCCCCCACACACGCAACACACACTCACACCTGTCCTCCTCCCTTAGGCACAACTTTTGGAGACCCATCCCTCTCCTCTCCTGTCAGTGGGAACAAATGAGCCGGGGCATGTACCTTACTCTGTGTGTGTGTGTGTGTGTGTGTTTGTGTGCAGGACTAACTTCCTGTCTGCCTGGCCTTCCTCTCCTTTACTTCCACCCAAAACACACACACTCACTTGCACACACCTGTTCTGCACTGTTACCCTCTGACAGATCACTGACATGCTGTCTCTAGGCCATTCTGCACTGTGTGTGTGTGTGCTTACGTGTGTGTGTGTTTGTGTGGTTACAGACAACCCCCTACTGTGTCTGTCTGGCAAATGCCATTTCTCAAGGAGGTAAAGAAGGCAGCGAGGGAAGGAGGGAGGGAGAGAGGGAGGGTGGGTGGGGTAAGGATGGAGAGAGGGCGAGGGCCTTGATGTGAGTGTGTTTGTTGTCAGGGGGTTTATTAATAAAGATGACCTCAGCTGGAGCGGCACAGAGCCTGCGTGTGTGCTCCTGTGCGTGTGTATGATTATTCCCTCTTCCTAACTCCTTGATCAAGTCAAATTATCATTATTTAGAGAAGAGGAATTCCAGTTTTATGTATTCAGGCATAAATTTCAATGTGATCCCCTTTCTTCTACGTCTCTCTGCTGTCATTTTGTGGCAGCGGTCTGAAGTGGTTGCACTATGTTTTCATGCTCTCATAAAGCATCTTCGCGTGCCTGCAGACTCATCTGTTTATGTGTGTGCGGGTGGGAGAGGGATTATCCGTCTTGATTTAACTCCTTTGTGTCTCGGCGTCCGGCGATGTGATTATGTGCTTCATTATGTTGGGTTAAACAGGGCAAGTCCACCGCGTGCATATGTGTGTACATATGTCAGTTACCTGCTGTGTGTGTGTGTGGAGGAACAGATGTCCTCACAAGATGAGTTCAGACAAAGATCTTCCTGCAGTCGCTTTAACTTCCATCACAAGTACGACCGTTTGATCGTTAAAAGATCAGCTCATATGAACAAAAAGTCATTGTTTCTCTTGAGCTCGTTCCTGGTTGGATGGATGAGTTTACTTTGGCTTAAAAAAGAGCACCAAAAAAGTGCAAGATGTAAACCTAGCTGGCTCCAACTAGTGGATGAAAACTTTGAACAAGGTTCAAGGCAGATTGTGTGCAGATTTGGAGATGCATGGTAATGCAAAGTTGGGTAAATCATGCCCAGGATCAGGTCTTAGCATCCCTTAAATAAAAGTTATTTCCAAGAATTTTAAAAGGGATATTCCAGCGTAACATTAATTTAGGATCAAACACACTGTAACACTGAGTTGGACAACCCCTCGAGAGATGAATGTTGCCGACCGTTTGCTTTTCTAGTTTTACCAACTTTAGTAACGACCGCACGATAGCAATACACAGCACAGTAAAATGATTAGTATAATGATTATTACTTCAAAGAAATATTAAAGAAATTATCATAAATGTTCTTCCTTGAGCTGCGTCACCCCACTGTAGTCCGTAATGGACTGGCCCAAGGTCTCGCTACAAACAAGCGGCTGTTGGAGGAGAGTAGGTGAGTTGTGTTTAGTCTCTTTGCTAAAGAAATCAGGCAAATTTAAAAAGATGTTTGGTGGCTAGTGCTGTGGCTGGGACCCTATATGTACTGTTGATGAAGTTAGGTGCTGTTCTGAGCATTATTTGTGGTTATAGAGTGGTGTTTTGGTTGAGGTTTGTTTATGGCTCCTCAGACTGCTGTGTATTGCTATCGTCAATGTCTTGGGGTGTCTAACACCGGAATATCCCTTTAAGTCTAAATTAGTTAGGCTGCATTTGTCCCCTTTGTAAAAGTTATTTTTCTGTTCATTTCAGAATTTTTTTAGTTTGTTTTCTTTAATCCAGTCAAATCAAAGTCATGCTAAATAGATTTTTTCTCTGACTTTCATTTGTCTTCTCACAGCATGGTTCCTAAAAAAAGTGTTGATCAGACTAAAGCTAAAATCTTCAGGTTTTCTGTAATTTTTGAAGTTGCCCTTTAATCAGGATTGGCAGAGCGGGATGAGTTTGATAAATTGTTCGTTGAGTCAGGAGATTTTGAGGTAGACATGGTCAGTGGGAGGTGATCTCATTTGTTTAGCTGTCGAGCTCCCCTCTGCATCCGTCCCCCAAGGCTGGAGCTGCAGCCTGAGCGGGGACAGCCAGCCAAACAGGGGGCCCCCAGGGGTCCGGCAGTTACCATGGAGGGGGGGGGAGGGTGTTCCTGGATTTGCCCTTCTGACTGCGGCGCCACGAGGAGCACAGAGGCCGCGAGGGACAGAGTTCTCGTGCAGGCTAGGAGAATAATATAATGAGTAAATCCATGAAGCTCACGCTGTATTACACACATGCATTCACACATGTATACACAGAGGGGCGGATGCAAATACAGGCATGTGCTGAAATTCCCTCTACAAACACAAAACAGCAAGTGGGAATATGCATGTGTGGGGCGAGCCTGGACTCACTCGGTCACACTCACAGGAATAGAACCATACATCGATCCACGCTCTGGTATATTACTCTTTAACCTTCCTCTCTGTCAATAATCCTCCACCCATGTAGGGCTCCCTGGCTATTTGCTATTTCAGCTGCAGCTCCGACCCTCAGCCGGTTACATTTTGTCGGACAGATGGCAGCAGCAGTGAGAAGAAAGCTAATGAAACAGGATATCCTCGCCTCTGGTTATTCCAAGGCAGAGAAAGAGGAGGAATGGCACTGGCTCTGACCTTGAGTGAGTCTAAATAGCATAAAAGAAGGACTGTATGTTTACCTGGTGTACTTATTCACTGGCCGGCGCCATTGTTGTTGCCTACGCAGGACTTGAAAATCGCTTTATGTTCTCCATAATGGTTCAGGGTCTCCTTCAGGGAGACACTGAGTCACACCTGTTATTCTTCTGGAGAGTGTATTCACATATGAGAACTAATGCAGTGAAATCTGAAAGTGCTTTGATGGATTCTTCTCGACTTCTTATATGTTCATTAAAAAAGAACACAGGAGATGATGGAACTCCACAGAAGGAGATGTTTTTTTATGGATTATATATGTACTTGGTATGTGTAATGAGGGCGTAGGTATGGCAACAGTGACACGTAACGAAAGGGAAAAATGTGGAGACTTCAAGATATTCTCTTTTTTTTTTTCTTTCTATCTTCACCTTCATCAAAATTCCCGTCACTGCGTATCTGTGCTTTCACATCCTTCTGCCTGGCTTCCTTGAGGGAGTATCTGAAGTTTTTTTTTTTTTGCCAGAGAACACATTCAATCTCATCAATCAATCAAGAAACAGAAATAAAAGAGAAAGATAGTGTTTTGAATTTGCATTTTACTTCACAAAAAAAAGTTGGAGAAAGCTTTAAATCAAGTTTCACCAATGGGAACAGTATTTAGCACCTTGGTTTCGCAGCAAGCATCACAGTTTTCTCCGTCTCCTCCATGATTTTGTAGTCTGGTGGTGCACGCCACTCCCCACTGAGACTGAAGTAGCTAGACTTGCAAGATCACACAGCAGTATGGAGATATATGTATGTAGCATCAGCAATTTATACAACAGATTACTTTGTCTTTCTGCTGTCAATTCGGGTATCATTATATGATTTTGGTGCTTTTGCATGAGTTGGTGGGCTACACATTTAATGCATCTATGAAATTTGTACTTAAATTAGAGTGACCATATTCTGAATCCCCAAAAAGAGGACACGACTAGACGGGCGCAGAGTCACAGAGTCGCACAAAGTTAATTTTGAGAGTTTTCTGGTTGAATCAAGTGGTTTTTTATGCGCTTCTAATTTAGTAAGTCCACGTGACACAAACTCAAAACCACAGACATTTGAAGGATCTTATAATTTTCCCCAGACAAGGCCGGACAGCCCCCAAAAAAGAAGACATGTTGGGGTAAAAGAGGACGTATGGTCACCCTACTTAAATTAGTAAAATGGCTCTAATTGTGTTTTATTTTGTCATGTTGTTATTTAACAGGTTGTTAACAATTGAAGGTTGAGTTGTGAGGGACTCATACTGATGCACATGTGGTGTTTTATTTTGTTGTAAGTTAGATGCTCTTTCCAACCCTTCATATTCTGTTCAGTTTGACTTGTATTCGACGCTGGCTTGTGGTTTCTGCTCCAATGCTCCTAAACATACAAATATAACCAACTTAACTGTCACGTGGCAGAGCTGGAAAACAGAAAAAGGACCCAAAACGCATTTATTTAAAAAGAACGAAATGAAAAAACAACAAAAACTTTCTTTAAAATACCCAAACTAAAAAAATCCAAAAGGCAAAATCCTACTAAAGACACAGGCATACGCGCACACATCGACATACAATGAACCAACGAGGACAGAGGGGAAGACAGGGACTATATACACACGGGGAAACGAGCAACAGGTGAGGCAGACAAGACACAGGTGAAACTCATGAGTGATTAACAAAGGAGGGAAAACTAGGGAAGTAAAACCAAACAAGAAACACAAGGAATCAACTACTACAAAATTAAACAGGAAACACAGAAAACTGATCGAAAGAATAAAACAAGACTGGACAACAGGGGAACAGAAACACAGGGAAAAACGCAAAGAAAATACTAAAATACACTCAAATAACAAAACCAGGAAAAAAACAAATCAATAGAACATATCATGATATTTGCTTTGTTATTTACATTTAGACTCACATGAAACTCTCAGAAATGAAGCATTGACTCTTCAGGGCACGAATCAGCTTTAAGCAGACAGATCATCATAATGCACACACCAGCTGAGATCCAACAGTAATAATGATCATTTTAGGTAGAAATGATAACGATTAGTCAGTTTCTTCATCTGTTTTCCACCTGAGGCTGTAAACTCAATGCTGATGTTGCAAGAAACGACCTAACATTTGCTTGCAAACATTTTCAGCATACTCAAACACAATCAGCATTCAGATATCTGACTACTCTATGTTTTATTTTCACTCTCTATGTACTTTGTTTGGCTATCGTGTTGAAACAAAACCCAATATAAATGAATCTTTGGCTCTGAAGTTACTCTTTGTTCTTCTGTTTCGCCAGCTTCCAGCAAACTTTGCGTGATTGGCCTTTTGGTTTTTATGAGGGGAGTGAATTTATGCTGCAGAAAATTGAACTTTATTTGTCGAAAACAGCTCAACAAACTAGAGAGAGAGAGAGAGCTAATAAGATCTGCATGAGTCAACTAACAGGGGAAAAGTTGTGGACAGTCAATGCCAGACAAGAAGTTAGAGCATGGAGTTTAGCTTAAGGGAGCTGCAGAGTCAGACGAAAACTTCTTTCTGAAACCTTCAGTCTCTCAATCGATTTCCGACTGTGAGATTTTTTTTTTATTGTAGCTTTCAAGAACTTTTAAAATAGTTCCAAAGGTAAAACCAAGTAGAGTCATATGTTAAATTTGACACCTATCGGCATCACTCTGAAATTCCCTTGCTTGTGTTTATCCCGCAGCACTTCTTCGGCGTTAACGTTATTACCTTCAAGGGAAAGTTGACTCTCCAGTTGACCCCCACAAAGACTGAACGGTGAGAAAAGCAGAACTCAGGAGTCAGAGCGGTGGAGCGAAAAGCCCCGCATGAAACGCTGCAGATTTTATCAGAGAGCACATACGCAGGAGGGATTTGTTTGGCTTATTTCTTTATGAGACAAATATTGGGACTGGGCCTCGCGAAAGGCCAGGGCCCCTGCCAGAGCTTTACCATCACATTCTCCCTCTTATGTAAACAGATTTCTCCTACAACGAGCACAAATGCATGCGTGCACATTGAGATTTTGCAGCTCTTGCACTCACCGAGCATTTTCTTTTAATACACCTTAAAACTCCGTAACAGACTTAGACTAATTCAGCTGAATGAACTCGCCGCCCTCCTGTGGAGATTTGATTCCTTTTAACTCTCAGAGCAGATAAAACCTTGAGGACTATGTGCCCGTTATATAAAGCACTTTTGTGTGTTTTGTGGATGTATTGACAAATGTGAGCCATTGTGTTTCTCCCCCAGTTTAGCTCACACACCAGGTGCTTCTCAGCATTTTGTGTCCTCTGTGGTTTTTCTGTGTGTTCTGGCACAGAGAGAATAATAATCACAGCTCCACGGCTCAAACCAATATCTGCTGCCAAGAGCACCCGGCGCAGGTTCCCCCTGCATCACACAGGAAATGAGTGGATGATAGTGAAAGGGTCCCACTCAAAATCACAATCGCTTTATCAGTCCACACCAATACGTACAGAGGGGGTTTTTCTTGTGGCGCTGCAGAGACAATAGGACTTCAAAACCGGCTCGTTCACGCTGCCAGGAATTCGGTCGATGTGTTCTGACCGACCGCAGAGCCGCTGCTGGCTTTGATCGCATCTGCGCTGTGAGCTGCAAACACCAAGTCCACAGCTGGCAGAGTGGGTATTTTTCTCTGGAGGTGGTACTGTTGAAGGAGTCATGTAACAGAAATAGCTAAAAGTTTACAATCCCTTTTAACAATGGGTGCAACCATTCTGCATTTCATTTTCAGTTATTTCTTTTTAATGATTGAAGCGAGAGCTTTAGAGACTTTGCATCTTTCCATTTGGTGACTCTTACAAAACTAGAGAAGCACTCGGAGAGCGCAGACCTCCGCCAAGCAGCTCATGTCCCCCCTTAAACAAGAAATGCCCTGACCAGGATTCGAACCCAGGATCTTCTTGTTGGCAACAGTGCTAACCACTACACCACTGTGCCGCCCATTGGTTATCTTTCAGCATTGAAAATTCCAGCGACACCCTTATTTTTGTGTGTTTGAGAAAGGATTGTTTTTTGGTTAATTTTTTCTTTATTTTTAAAAAGTTGCAGGGCGATGTCTTCTAATAATTTCTGGCGGCATTATGATTATGGCGGCATAAACCTGCTTATGGCCAGTTTTGGCTCATTGTAAATGAACATTACAAGCTAAGACTTGGACAGCAAAAAAATAAATGGATATCCTGAAACATTTCAAAAAGATTCCACACAAAAGTGCATTAGAAAAAGAAGAAGAAGAAAATCACATATTGATCTGGCTGCATTGTGCACTTCCAATCTGTTTTCAACCATAACTTGGCCGGCCTTCATCCTAGCAGCAGAGTGCTCCATTGTTGAAATTTCTATTAACAAAATGATCCACTGATGTATAGAGAGAGAGTGTGTGGTGGCTGTCATTGTACTGCCGACATCTTTTTAGCAGCAGCATTGATAACCAAAGCAGTCTTTGGGTTCGGTCGAGATCATTCAAAAGCAGAAATTCAAGAGGGACAAAGATTTTTCACAAAGTTTTGAGTCTGAAGTTCTCTAACTTCACACCCACAAACTTCAGACTGGTGGAAATATGAAAGATACGAAAGAGCCACAATACAAAAAATGTAATCTGGCTGACTTCAAGCAGTCAAATTTATCATCTATTGAGAATGTTTTAGGTTGAAATTGTAAAAAATAGCAGCTTGGCTTACACTCACCGCCTTCGCACCAGTTTCAGGCCCTAAAATTCACAGTAGAAACATTTTCATCTTGTCTCTGATAATCTTGTTTGCTTTTGCATATCATTAAAACGCATTAAAAGTCTATTTTATTCACCCCTCACTCAAATAAAGATGAAAAGCTATTTAAAATGTAATCCCATTAACACAGGTTGACCCTCGAGTGATGTAGCGGCATATTCTCCAAAACTTATTGTTGTTGTATCACCAGCAGCACTCGTGTGTGGAGTGATTTTGACTCTTCATCTGTCCAGGGTGAACCAGTTTAGCATCTTTTATCAGAATTACACATTGCACACGGTCCCTGCACACTTGAGTCACGGTTTGTTGACTAGAGAGGATTGTTATTACTGGCCAAAATTAAAGACTTAATTGATTTTATTGGCTAAAAATGGCTGTAAATGCAGGAGGCAACATTTGCTTAATAACAAGATGTATTACTTATTGTACAGAAACTTTAAGCTTGGAATATCCTGGAAAAAGTTTTATTTTTTGACCGGTCATGTTAATGCAGCTTCAGTTAAGTCTAAAAAGATATTTTGATGGGAAATAAAACTAATTCCCGTGGTAAAAGTTGAGGTTTTCGCTGTGTAAACATCTTCTGATTGGCTGTCTGTCATGCAGCGAGTGGAGAGCTTGTTTTATAAATACAAATTTTTACGGTGCAACTGAAAAATACTGCAAAGTGCACCATTTTGCACTGAATACATAAAGTAAAAGCAAAGCAGGCATAGGTTAAGAGGAAGACGATCCAATAGTAACTTGTTAAAAGGTGCATTTAGCCACCTATCGCAGCAGAAGTGGACATACTTTTGTACAATTAAATTGCTAAATGGAGCAACAACTAGTCAAAAGTTTTTTGAAAATTGATGAATTATTGACAAAGAAATCAAAAATGAAAAAAAAAAATCCTGCATTGAATAATTTCACTGGTGGTCTTAAGTGCTTTTGTAGCTCATCTGTATTCATGACAGTGTTTATATTAGTAATGAAAACCTGTCATGCGAGCTCATATGTTCAATTTCAGTCTGATCCTTCGCCTCTCTATCATAAAATACAAGTTTCCTTCATATCCTGACATGTAAAAAGAGATTCTTTTATAACTGTTTAACCCATAAATTACTCTAATCTGTGTCTGAGTCTAAGTGACATCTACACAAAGTGGTACCAAATTATCAGCGTCAAGTATTCGATTCAGAATTACACATCTGTTAAAATGTCAACATCAATCTTTAAAAGCCAGCCTTACAAGAAGAGTGTAATCACAGAGCAAACACAATATTTCACAAACAGGCCAAAGCATGAAGAGGACAGGTGCTAAACCCTCAGCTGTATATCAGTCATTTCTATGGTGCGCTGAATAATCGATCCAGCAGTTGAATATAGATTGACGACTCTCATGAGGGATCTCAGGGGGGAATTGACTCTGCAGTGCCCCGCCGCTGATAATGGCCACAGCAAAATAGCCGCCACCTCTAATTGTAGCCTGTAAATCACAACCAGCAAGTAATAGGACGCACTTAAAGGGGTCAGAGTTTACAGCTAAATCACTGCGAGTGGCAAAGACTCCGAAGTAAAGCTTTGCAGCTCAGTCTTGTTTTTTTCTTGTTTTCATAAAGTGGTGGTGTCGAAGAAGTGGGTGGGGAGGTTGAAAGCTGGCGTTCATCGCACAAATCTGGATTCGACCTTGGCCAGATGTCCACCAAGATGGAGAGTGGTGTGTGTACGGATATGCGTGTGTGCCTGTGTGTTTGTGTATGTGTGTGTGAGTCCTCAGCCAGGTTTTGGGAAAGTACTTGGCTCTAATAGGGACTGGCAGGCATTTTGTTGGGCTTTATTGCCACATGCCTCTTCCAATCCTGCTACTGATTAGAGCTGCCGTTACTGGCACGCACACCCTCGCACCCTTACAAGACAGACCCACACACTTTGGCACGTGCTCAAAGCCGGGGCCTCATGCATGTGATTAGCATCCCATCCTGTTGTCTTGCGCAGCGATCAAACGGAGCTCAAAGTTGTGCTCTTGTCAAAGCAGATCGGGGGGAAGTGACGGGTACATCGTCACTCTACTTTTATGCCGCTCATCAGGGTGCTGTCAGCGGAGACAATGTCAAATCTGCCGCAGAGCAATTAAAGGCCGGGTCTGCCACAATTGGGCCTGATGGAGAGGACTCGTATCGTGGAACCAAGCTGGCTAACACACAAACACGCATTTAGATAAAAGGATACACACTCTGCCAGGGAGATAACACACAAGACATCCACCCACAGACATGCACACACGTAGGTTTCACACGCATTTACAATAAGCATGCAGGCGATTAGCTGGAGAAGTGCAGGTTTAAACTGTTAGTCATTGCTGATTCATAAGCAGCTGGCTAGCCTCCACTCAGCTCCTGACTGTGCTGCCTGTCAAACACACAAGCAGCCGGCAGCTGGAAGCGCATGTGTGTGCGTGGATATGTTTCTCCGTCTATGTGTGTGTACGCAGGTGTTCTTGAAACCTTTCTTTTTAACCAAAAACCTCTCTGCTTCCCTTCCTCTCCACCCCTCTCCCTCCTCTTTGGCTTACCCTGTGCGGTTGCGAGCGCGCGCTTCGGTTTGTGTAGACGCGTGCGTGTGTGCTTTTTTTATGTGTGCGAATGTGTGAATGTGGAGCCTTGCAGGGTTTTTGGCTGCTGCGTGCTCCTGGATGAAGCGAATGGAAAGCTGAGGTCTGGATGACTTACTTATTTAGGAAAAATCCACCAGAGATGGCCTCGTGTGCTGCAGTGCTGTCACCGAGTCCTGTGCGTTAAAATTGTGTGTTTTTATGAGTGTGAGTTCGCCCAGCTCCATAGGAGAAGCAGCAGTATTTTTCATTTGAAAGGTTTTCTTCTTTAAAGTTGTTTTACCGCCTCTTCAGTCCCAGATGGAGACGCTCGATAAAGGGTTAAACACTCCACCAGAAGCAGTTTACACACACTTACACACACACTCACACGGACGCTCTCTGCTTATAAGGTCTGTAACTCATAGCCGTGAGCTTCCTCATTAAATCTAAATTCACTTTCTTGCACATTTAATTAAACTAACCTGATTTTGGAGGACCTGCCGTTGACGTAACTGGCTTTTCATTTCCTCACGAGCATCAGAAGAGGAATTATCCATTCGGCGCTCGTTCCTCTTCCTTTAGAAAAGCGAGTCAATAGCAGGATTGGCAGCGTCACCGGCTAGTGAGAACCATAAAGGATTAAATACTCTTTTATGGGCCGAGAAAATGTGACCACTTCTTTGGATAATTGAACTGTTTAAATGCGAAGGTTGTTTAAAAGGCACGCCTTTTAGTAGCGCTGTCTGTCTTCTTAAACATTTAAAGGCTGTTCACTCGCATGTGCTTTAAACTATCCAACCTCATTAACAAAAGAGTTAGGACTCTTACAGAATTTAATGTTTTGTAACTTATCTAAATCTATATTTTGGAAATAGCACAAATGAAACTTGTTTTGTGAGGAATTTAAACTCATTTTTAAGTTTAGGTTGAAACAGTTGTGACAGAATCAACAAAATACTAAAAAGTTGTGTGGTACTTAAAAAAAAAGGAAGAACTTCTCTTTTTTGAGGTTAATTTGCAACAGATTGGGTATAAAAGGGCGCTTAAGGACACCTAAGTCTCACAGAGATTCACAACTGCATAATGAAGCAGTTCAGTGTTTCCAGAATAATCCCTCTGAGAACAAGTGCAAAGAATTTGGGATTAGATAATATCGTTCAAAGATTCAGAGAATACAGAGACAACTCAGTGCAAAAACTCATGACTCTGTAGTGGAAATCACCGCATCATCTTAACATCACATTTAAAACCACTGTCTATAAGCAGAGTTTATTCCAGCATCCACAAATGTGGTTTAAAACCATAAACAGCTGACACATCTGGGAAGGCTTCATTATTGCTGAATAAAACACACAGGTGTAGGAGAAACATGTGCTACCATCCAGAGAACCCTTTTTACAAGAGAGACTGAGAGAAAAAACAGGCATTAGAGAGCTCTTTTGCACAGTAAACATTTGTATTTTTGTCTTTGCACACCTTTGCTAAAATGAGTAACACCATCACTTGATTTTTACCTGAAATAATAAACCCAAGAAAAAGTACTTTTCATCGAAATATATCAAAATAGTACAATACATGACAAATTAAAGTAGTTTTCTTTTATTTTTAACAATGTCCAAAGGGAGGGGAAAAAAGTGCCATGAGGGGACCGTATAAAAATGCAACAAAATAGACTAAATTAGACATTCATGAACAAAAAAAACCTTAAAAAACATGAAATATTGAAACTATAAACTTAGTTTCTTTTCCATCCATTCCTGGGGCATTTGAGTCTTCCCTGGTCTTCCCACAATAACAGCTGCAGGAGAGAGAACCAAAATATGGCAGATTTGGAGAAAGTAAAAATGACCCGCTGACTAAAATATTTCTTATCACCTTATGAATGCCCTTAAAAATCACTACTTTGTGATAGTTATTCATAACCACTGCGCTAAATAAAGATAGCATGCAAATTCCTGGACCACTCTTACCGACCTTATTCGCCTACATGCAGCTATCAAATCCACCCAAACCTACTTTACCCTCGATCACTATTGCAAGGTGAAAATCTCTGCGGTAGGAAAAAGCAGGTTTTAGATCAGGGAAACAAATATGCCTTCAAAGATGTCAAAGTCAACGCTGAAGCTACCCAGGGACCCATGATACTCAGACAAACACAACATGATGAAAATCACGTAAACATGTTTGGTCGGGTGAAAATCACCCCGGCGATAGTGCTCTAGGGTTAAAATGAAATATATAGTTTAAATGATTTGCAAATCATCCAATCCTGTTTCTGTGAACATTTTCCACGACGTCCCAGCTCTCATGTAACCAGCGTTGTAAAACTGATTTCCAGCTCCCTCCTCGTGAGAGTTCTGTGTAGGTTAACTTTCTGTGTTTGATCAATAAAGTGAACATGATGAACATCAAAGCTTTCCCCGTCGATACTGTGAGGAGCATGTGTGTGCCGAGTGTGTCTGAGTTTCCAGTGTCTGCTTTATTGACAGAGCAGGATGAACTACGACGGTGTCAGAGGGTCTGCTGTTGCCTTTGTGTGCTCCCTCTGTGTAACACTAGCCGGCCCATACGTTACTGACTGGGTCTGCTTGGCCCTCGGCGCTCTCATTGTGATTAGTGGGCCATTGATGTTGACATGAATCTTAGCTTCCACACACACACACACTCTGGTTCTTGTGTACGTGTGTGGCTTTAAGTTATGTGATCTGCAGTGAGAACCCTGGGATCCAATAAAAGTGCGCCTCAAGGGTTCAGGTGTGTGTAGCTTCATGTTGACCAATTCGTTTTCTTTTATTTTCACATCAGGTTTAAAATTTATAAACTGTACTGTAAAATAATTTCATTTACAGACTAACTGCTTAATCTGCTTTTATACTTTTATGTAACTTTCTTTCGTATTTGCTCAGGGGGGATGGTTTTGCAACAGTCACGAGGCAACAGTTTGAATTTTCATTTTGCATAAGCTCTAAATTTATTGCTCTGCTGGCTGACAGGATTAAGTTGTGATGCTAACTGAAGCTTTTTTGTCCCTCTCACCATGTACTTATAAAATTAAATGAGGGTACAATGATGTCATGGGAAATAAGCCACTGAGGTCGAATAGCAAGCTCTGAAAACTGCAAACAGACCGTCACGAGGCAGCGGCTGTAGCCTTTTCCCCACTTGCTTTGAAGACTGATGGATATTTTTATTCAGCATTTTATTCTTTATGGAGTCTGGTGTTTTTATTCTGAGACAAATTGGTGTCTGATTAAAAAGATATCATTGTTGTGAAGCTAACAGGAGCTAACATTTTTGCTATGATGTTTTTGATTTGTCATTAAGCAGAAATCAAACGTGCAGGAACTCTTTTCTATTGATTGATTTGATATATGATGCATGATATACTTGCTTCCGCCATTCAGGATCAATAAGAATTGTTTAATGGTTTTGACCAATCAGAATCAAGTATAAGTAAGAAAGCTTGTGCTACCAAGATGTCCCACCTCAGTACCGCTCATAGACTATATAGAATGGATGCCGTCTGCCTCCTCGCTGGTTGAAGCTACTGCAAGAACAGCACCGTCTGGTGGTGGGCTGCAGTATAGGTCATAAATCCCGCCTCCTCCAGCAATCCCTATGGAGCTGTGGACAAACTTTAGAAACTTATCACACAGAATATAAATGTTTCTCCCCGCCGCTTGTGATGTTGACATGTAGTTACAGTAAGACTGGTTTGTGGTCAAGTCCTCTTTTTTCTGTACAGCTCTGTTTTTAAAAGTTATTAGGGGGTTCATGTTTTCAATGATTGACACTTGATACAGCCTATGGGCGTACGAAGATTGCATAGCTCACCCAGGGGATGCACTGTTTGAGCCGAGCGTCATCACAGTGACTCTCCTGCCGAATACGTGCAATGCGAGTGCGCAAGTGGTGGTTCCAGGAAGTTGAGAAAACCTGAAATACAGAGAGCAATTCGCTACAAATTCGTACAATGACGGAAGGTGGAACCAAGTTATCCATGGTATATAAAGTCTATGGGTGGCACCAAGATGTCCCACCTCAGCACCGCCGTTAGAGGTTATAACATTTGTGAGATTACAGAAAGAGATCTCTGTGAACTGATGGAGCAGTCAGGGCGGGACACTCTGAGTGTGTACATGTCTTTTTGTGTTTATCTATTGCTTCTGCATTGACATAACGTATTATGGAAAAACACAATGAAACACTAGTTAAATCCTGTCATGGGATTTATAGAAAAGATTTGAGACTTAATGATGTTGGAGCTTCAAACTGTGCTGTAGCAGGTTTTAAAAAGGTCTCTGAGTAATGTCTAATTAGGCTTAATTAGGGTCACAGCTGATTTGACTGGCAGGTATCAGTGGGGAGTCAGCAATCCCAAAAGAGCAACCGCCATTAATATAGAACCCAATGGATGGCATCATTTTTATGGATCTATTCAATGTTAAAAATAAAATCAAATAAAATTTTGGTACTTTTGGTTTTGGAGGGAAAATTGAGGATAATTGGGTGTGAGAGCAAACTGAGAAAGACGCCACACAGTTTGGCAGGGCTGTACCAGCAATTTCATCCAGCAGTTTTCCCGCCCTGATACATACCCAGCTTTTTCTTTCATTTACTCTGAATGGGACCATAATTAACTAAATAACAGAGGACTTTAAGCCGTGACCTCAAACACTGAGTTATTTCACACATCAAGCAAAAAGTAGTGTTTTTGCTTCTTAAACATTTTCTCACACCTGTGGAGTTGACCTCCTGCAGAGCGTTAACAAAAAAACAACATTTTTCAGACACCGTCCCTCGTTTTGCTTCACTTTTCAGACCAAAGGCATCATTATCCTTTATCTTTTATTCCGTCTATGTATGGATGGCTGATTTTCTCTGCGCTGCTTTCTGATGTAATCAAGCCTCAAAACTTTCTCAGGGTTGATGCATTTTTTTGCAAGCATACAATACCATGCAATTATATTCAATTATAGCGTGTTTGTGAGTCTGTATGTGAGTGTAGGAGAGTTGTTGTGTGTTTTTTCCCTGAAAGAGACATTACAATGATTAAAGCAGCCTTGCTAATCTCACACACAAAGTTCCTCCCCCGTCCTTCATTATCCCTCTCTTCTTCTTCTTCTCTCTCTCTCCTTTAGCCCAATGTGACCTTCGCCTGAGTCGAGAGTGTCTGTTCAACATTCACGAGGAAGACCGAAGCGAAACAAGCGAACAGGAGATTAAGGAGAAATCACACAGACGCGTGAGGGAGGAGAAGAAAAGCAAGTAAGAGTAAAAACAGAACAAAAGGTGGAGAAGAGAAACGCAAGCGAGTGTTTCTCTGAAACCTTCCTGGGCTAACAGCATGACTTGTTGTAAATGAGATGAAAACACAGGAAAGATAGAGAGACAAGTGCAGAGGTGGCATGTAAAAATGAGTGAAAAATCAAAGAAATGAGAGTTAATTTGAGAAAGAAAAAGAAACCAGAGCGTGAGAGGTTGCGGTTGTCACAAACAGGATGTGTAAATTACAGGTATTTTCAGGTACTCCGAGATTGAAATTATTGTGGAGCGAGACAAAGGGTAGGAGCAGAGAGATGTAAGAGCCGGGGAGATGAGAAAGCAGCAAACAAAAGAGGGGAGAGAAAGGGAGAAAAAGCTGAATTTGGAAAGGATATTGGATTTCAGAGCAGACTGTTAGAGGAGCTGCTGAAGGTTATGGGTGTCAGATTGTGTGAATGTGGGTGCTCATACCTCATCTTTATCCGCCGAGTGAGTCAACGTCATGGGCGGTGTTCTCAGCTAAAGGTGTAAAAGTGGAAAGTGACGGGAATCAGTCTTACAAACAAATGTGAAACTCTGACTGTATGTGGAATCTAAATTTTATGTAGCTGCTGTAGTTTTTAATATTTGCACTTCAGGATCAAAAAGTTATGGTCTGTACTTTTTCCTCTTTAATTTAATAACATCTTGACCTCAATTTAGTCTCTTAATCCTCTCCCCTAATCCTGTCTTTGTGTCCAACCACCTAAATTTTGTTTAAATAGTTGATAAAAATCATAGATTTTAAACATTAGGACATTTCACCGTCTCCGTCTACAAAAAAACTGCATGCACACCACTACGTTTTCAGAAAAGTTTTCGTTTACACTAACCCGTGTATATATGCCGTCAAGAGCATGCCAAACCTGTAGGTGGTAGTGTAGCGAGAAGCTCAAGCCCACATTAGCCAATCAGAATCCTGCATAGCAGCAAAAACAACAACGTCACTTCTGTCTTTAGGAAAAGATGCAAATGCAAATAAATACAAAGGGATCACACCAGAATAAATGCGACTGCTATTTGGCATGCATCCATGATCACCATAGGTTTTAAACATAGACTGTAGATTGTGAACACCGTCGCATTTGACCCAGTTTTTAGCGTACAATCTGCCATCGGTTACCCAAATCTCAGTTTAACTCAGTTTCCGTGCAAACTGAGTTTTCCAAATCTCCACTCTATAAAAAGCATCATTTTTTGGGAATGAATTCTTCGATTGCTAGGGTGACCATACATCCTCTTTTACCTGGACATGTCCTCTTTTTTGGGGGCTGTCCAGCCTTGTCCGGCTTTGTCCAGGGAAGTTTATAAAATCCTTCAAATGTCTGCGGTTTTGTACGGGACTTTCGAGTTTGTGTCACTTGGATTTACTGAGTTAGAAGTGCATAAAAGACACTCAATCCAACCCAAAAACTCAAAATTAACTTCATGCAACTCCGTGACCCTGCCCCTGCATAGTCATGTCCTCTTTTTGGGAAGTCAGAATATGCTCACTCTACTGTTTGCCTCTAAACGAAGGGTGCAAATGATGGTTAATGTCTCTGTTTTTAAAAATAACTGGGTACGTTTAAACGGGGCCTCAATTGAATCTTAAAGCATGCATTGACTCAGTTTGGACACAGACCCTTGTCATGAAATGAGGCACAGAAAGGAGGACACAATGGCAAGACACGGAATCAGTTTGTCCAACAAACAGGGTTTGTTTAAGCTCAGGCAGAGGTCGGTACACAAAACAGTCAGATCGGGCAGTGGTATCCAAAAACGTGACCCAAAAGTTAAAGTCCGAAAAAGGCAGGCAAGGTAATACACAGGTATCAATAACTTTGAATAGTGCTGGAACGAGACTACGGAAGTGCGACAAACTGGCAATGAGACAGTGAGATACACAGGGTAATGTACAGTAATGAGGGTGAGGGGAAACAGGTGGCGGGACACAATCAGGCATCAGGTGTTACAAGACAGGGGACAGGGCAGACCAGACAGGACCAAATTTAGAAAACAGAACCAAAGGTTAGAGATCTACAAAATAAAACAGGAAATGCAAGAGATGAACAAAACATGATTGTGCAGAAATAAAGGAAACTTAACCAACATAAATGTACTGAAAAATAAAAGAGAAAATTAACCGACATGACAATATGCTTTCATACATCCCTTTCTGCACACATAGTTAAGCAGCTGCAGCATGGAAAATAACAACACCACTGTGCTTTTAAATTCCTCTTTTAAATCCCTCAAAGTGTACGGGTAAGAAAAGTCAAGAGCAATATGCACCTGGTGTCTAACCCTTTCTGAGCAAAGCATACAGGTGCAGACTGTTCGAGGACAACCACAGCAAGTTTGCTGTAAATTTAGCAAATGCACTCTTGTCTGCAGAATAAACTGCTTGTTAGACCGACTTTTGTGTGGCGGTGCTGCATTAATCTAAATAATGCATCTAAGACTCAAAATCATAAACACAATATTTGGGTTTTAAAGTGCATTGTGTGTGTTTTTGGATGGGGGCGCGGTTTACACACTCTCATGAATCATGCAGGGTTGTTTGTGGAGGTTTTCAAATTTTATGTACGAGGCAGTTGTGGATTCTGAACGCGTGTCATGATTTATGTACGACCTGACAACTTTCGTATCTCTAGAGAAAGACAAAAATATGCATATGTTTCTGTGTGGGTGGGTGGTTGTAACAACTAAATGACAAAACATGAGCAGCTGTATGGACGGCTGTGCATATTTGATTCCCAAAAGTGAAGACACTTGCTTTATGGTGATGCACGGTAACAAGTTTTGACTTTGTGCTGGAGAAAGCATACTTCTTAAAAATCAATGCCAGCTCTAATTGTTCTATACAGAGCTAAAGGTTTTAATCAATATTCAACCTTCTATTGTGTTACCTGCATGCTTGGTTTTTATAGAGGCAGCTCAGAAGAATCCGTCATTTGCTATCGATTTTTAGTTCAACAGGTTGCTCTGGGAAAGTGCCCGAACATTTCCTGTTATTATTAAAGTCCTTTATATCTCTGCTTTATGCTTTAGAATCAACAGACCCATATATAGACGGAAGAGAGAGCCACTTAGACACACATACATGCGATGATGGCAGCGAGAGCTCGGACACACACATAAAGACAGAGGCGTGAAAAAGCAGCCTCAGGCGGCGTCGCTTTACTCCTCAATCCATATTTTTCCTGCAGGTGTGTGCGCCTCGCAAGTGTGTGTTTCTCTTTCACACACTGTCACAATGCAGTTATCCCTCCTTCTCTCTAATAATTCTGGATCCCTCGCTCTCCCTCTCTTTTCTCTCCCTATCTGTGTCCCTCACAGTGTGTGTTTATCTCAGGGAGGATATTGGTTGCCGATCATAAATAGCTTTTCCCTGACAGGGTGCCATCACAGACACCTAGATCCTGGGGAGGGAAAAGAGCGGGGGAGAAGGAGGGTAGAAAAGAGGGAAGAAAGGGGGCGATGACAGCATGAGGAGAGAGATGGAGAGAGCGATAGGAGGGGGGGGGGGGGGGGGAAGGAGATGAAAGTGCAAGAGAGATGGTGGCAGAGGTTATGTACATCAAGGCGGTGTGACAGGTGTCTGGCATGCACAAATAAATGTACAGCACTTATACTCACAGGCTGATACACAGCCAAGCACAATGTAGGAGCTGCTGTATTTATTGAGCACTAACACAACCCGGCATAGAGAGGTTGGTGTAATACAACACAAGCTGCTGCTGTAAATTCTCAAACAGCAGGGAAACATTTGCATATGTTAGCTGCAGTGTGCGACAGACCTCTAAGTGACACAGACGAACTTTAGTCCCTTAACTTGCCTGTTTTACAACATTTGTTTTATTTTATGTCTTATCCTTGTTTGTTTAGATGTTTGCTCTTTTCCAGCTCTGCATGTATTCTGCTTTTACTCACTTCCACTTTGGTGAGTTTTGTATTTTTTGTTAAATTACCATACTGAAAGTAATGGTGGAGATAAAAACTCTTTTTTTAAGGGTCCAATTCCATAAAACATTGAACATCTGAACTCATCTGTGTAGGTCCTGCGACTTAACGTCCTTCATTTCAATCAAATCACTGCTGCACAAACATAAATCCACCGCCTGGTTAAGTTTTTTGAATTAGCGGTGCAAATTAATTCATTGCAAGGGCGGGAACACAACAACCATGGCAGAATTAATCAGCTTTGTTTAGCAAATTAAACCAAACAATTGATTTAAAGTTGAATAAACTCTGAAAACTCAAGTCATCCTTCATAGCCGGTCTACTTCCTTAAGAACACTAACTCAATGTGTTAAAATCTGTGTTAATATTTGCAAGATAAAACCAAAGTTTGCTGATTAAACTAGGGTGACCATATTCTGACTTCCCAAAAAGAGTACATGACTTTGCAGGGGCGGGGTCACGGGGTCACACAAAGTTAATTTTGAGAGTTTTTTGCGTCAGATCAAGTGTCTTTTACATGCTTTTAATTCAGTAAGACCACGCGACACATACTTGAAACTTCCGTACAAAACCGCAGACATTTGAAGGATTTTATAAACTACCCTAGACAACCCCAGACAGCTCGGACAGCCCCCCCAAAAAGCAGACATGTCCGGATAATAGAGGACGTATGGTCACCCTAATTAAACAAGGTTGCATATGGACGCTTTATGAGGTGGATGCTGCAGCACTGGTGCAGGAGGACTTGACTGGAAATCTGGAGCTTGACAGACTGTGATTGGAGGATGCACTTGGCGGTTGTGAAAGTAAAGCAAGAGGAATGTCGAGTTAGTGAAGCTCGGGCTGCCTGACTGAACTAGCTCACTAGCATTGCTTTGTTAAGGTTATGTTGAAGTAGCACC